AGGAGGAGCTCCCCTTTCCAGCCAGGGCTGCACACATGGACTTTTCTTCCATTAAAACTGTCCTGGAACCCAGATGCAGCATCCTGTCAGGTTTACGCCTAACCCATCTCGCCAGCTGGTACAGCCATATTGGTTCAGTAAAGGTACAAGGAGCAGACTCTGGCCAAGACTAAGGTGGCTCAAGTGAGGCACCCACCTACTTTTAAAAGGATTTGCAGAGGGCGGCTGCTCCTATCTTGCCTATTTAAGCTGTAACTTCCTCAGGGCAGGGACTATGTCTTATAGTGTGTATGTGCAGCACCTAGTACAAACAAGCCCTGACTGCGGTTGGGAATTTCTACTGCTACAGTAATACAACTGGTATATGGCATTCATATTCCCATTTTACAGCTGGAGACATTGAAGCATAGAGATAATTAATACCCATCTCTTATCTACTGCTTTTCATCAGTAGCTCTCAAAGCACTTCACAAAGGAGGGCAGTGTCATTATTCCCCTTTTACAAGTGGGGAAACTGGGACACAGAGGCAAAATGACTTGCTCAAGGTCACCCAGCAGGCTAATAGCAAAGCTGGGAATAGAACACAGCCCTTCTTGAAGTGACTTGCCCAAACTTGCAATGCGAGTTAATGGCAGAGTCAGGATTAAGATCCCAGGTCTCTGGGCTCCCAGTCTGGTGCCCTGCCTGCTGCACCCTCTTGCGTCCCCGGCGCTAGAACTGGCCAGAGCTGCTTCTTTCCTAAGCTGCACCTTTAGAAAAGGGAGAAACCAAAAGCGTAGCAGACCACGCGTCTGCTAGTGAGTGCAGGGAGAATAAACTCTAACAAATCTTTCCCACTGACAAATTTTCACTTCCTCGCAGGGGTTTGGAGCCGTTTTCACTGGCTAAGAGGAAATGTGAGACAAAAGGAAAATTCAAAACACTCCAGGGTTGTTAAGACACGGTCATCTCCTGCCTTTAACTCCTGCTCTCCCTCTCCGTGCGCTGGGTAGTTCATCGGGGTTCTGAAATGGTCTGACCTGTTGTTGGGCAGCCGTGATCCTTCTTGGCGGGCCTGGGGTGTGTTTGGGTTGTTTCCCCCAGGGCAGGGCCGGCTCTAGGTTTTTTGCCGCCCCAAGCAAAAAAAACAACCTCCGGGAGCACAACTGTCGAAGCCAAAAAAAAAAAAAAAAGCGGAATGCCGCCCCTGAAATTGTGTCGCCCCAAGCACGTGCTTGGCTTGCTGGTGCCTAGAGCCGGCCCTGCCCCAGGGCGTCCCCACGTTGATCTGACCATGGGGTGCTCCGGGTAGGGCTGAGTACTGGACCTACTCAGCAACGTCTAGGGTAGCTAGGTGAGAAGCGCTTTCAGGAAAAGTGGGGGCTACAGCACTCCTTATTATGTGTATGACAGTAGTGCCTGGAGACCCCATTTGAGTCAGAGACCCATTGTGCTAGGTGCAATACAAAAACCTAGTAGGAGACCACAGCCCATGCCCTGAAGAGCGCACTGTCTAACGGGGTTCCTACAGACACGCACAAGCCATGCTGGGAATTACTGTCCACGTTCCCTGGTCTGTTGCATGGCAACATCGCTGTTAAAATGCGGCTGGATTTTATTGTCTTTTATCTAACCGCTCACCATGACTTGATGGCAGCCTGTGTGCCCAAGGCACTGAATAGCACATGGTGACTCAAACTCTCCCCTAATGGTTCTTTCCTGTCTTTCCTCTAAACAATCGAAGTACCCTCCCTCCTCTGGAGTTCTATATATATCTGTGAGCTTGGCATGCCAATGCTGGTGCCGGTGTGACATAGCAGGCATCACATGCAGGGTCTTCACAATGGCCATGGGCTCTTTAGATGTGTTGTGGAGTGGGTTTTGCTGAGTGCTGGTAGTGGCAGTGCAGAGAGGTTTACCTCTGTGCTTTCTCCTGCTGGCTTGGGAAGAGGGCCCATCCTTTGGGTCTCAATTGTGGATGGTGTTTCAAGGCATTTCTATAGCGCTTGTTGCTGGAGAGTCTGAGCAACTGGTGTTTCCATGCCTCTCGTTACAATCCTGTCCTCAGGACTGGGGCTCAGGAGGGCAGGAGGCAGCTCATGGGAAAGGGAGACTTTCCCCAGTTCAGAACCATTCCCGCTCAGTAGTAATTGGAAACTGTTACCATCTGGTGCCAAATGAGATGGTCGTCTCAGTGCAGTGCCTAATGGCACCTGGCATTAACTGGAGCTTTGCTGGCAGTGACAGCAGAAGCACCAAAGTCTGAACGGGGGCAGAGGTTGAAATATCCTCGGACTCCTTAGAGATGGGTGCCTGCAGGTCGGGGTGAAATGCTCTGCCAGGGAGTCAGGGCAGGAAGCCACAGCTGTGAGTAACCAGAGGACATTGATCTCCACGGCTGTCAACCTAGCAACTTCCACCAGCTCTAAATTCACTTTAAACTACAGCCAGCATGATGGGTGGCTTGATGATAAACCAGTGGGACTGAATGCTTAAGCCACAGCAGCAAGGTACATGAACCAAGTACATCTTGTCATGTTATCCAGGCGCTCTAATGAAGAGCGCAGTATAACACCAAGAGGGAGAGGCCAGTGCTTGCGCGCGGAGGCCCTGATCCGGCAGACTGATGCACATGCTCAGCGTTATACACTGTGAACAGTTCCGTTGGCTTGGCTTCAATGGAGCAACTCACCACAGAACTATAGAGAGGTAGGGCGGGAAGGGACCTGGAGGCAAATCTTTGCAGGATCTACGCCTGGCCCAAAGCCCATAAAGTCAATGGGAGTCTTTCTGTTGATTACAGACGGTTTTATATGAGGCCTTTACCAGCTAGTTCACAATGCCCAGTTCTTCTGAATGGTCTCCCAGTGGGAACAGGTGAGCTGCTGATGTATGTGACAATCCAAGACGCGTCATTCCCACCTTCCCGAAACATTCCTGCTTTAAAGGGTTTTACAGCCTCTTGATATTTTAACATCATGCTCAGGAGCATGGATTACCCTGAGATGGAGAACCAAACCAACTAGCCCCAGGCAATCTTTGTTGTGCGAGTCAACCTTGCACAGTGCCTGCATCCTCTAGCTCAGGGGTCGGCAACCTTTCAGAAGTGGTGTGCCAAGTCTTCATTTAGTCACTCTGATTTAAGGTTCCGCGTGCCAGTAATACATTTTAACGTTTTAGAAGATCTCTTTCTATAAGTCTATAATATATAACTAAACTATTGTTGTATGTAATGTAAATAAGGTTTTTAAAATGTTTAAGAAACTTCATTTAAAATTAAATTAAAATGCAGATTCCCCCGGACCGGTGGCCAGGACCCGGGCAGTGTGAGTGCCACTGAAAATCAGCTCGTGTGCCGCCTTTGGCACGCGTGCCATAGGTTGCCTACCCCTGCTCTAGCTCGAGGTGCTTTAGTACCTTACACTAGACTTCGGCCTTGACTTTTTTAATGTTACTGCCTACATGTAACAATACAGGGAATCACAGTCCTCCTGGCAGGGAGGGGGTCTATAAGAGAAAACAACTACAACCACAAACTTCTAAATGAGCTTCTGCAAAGCTCTAGTTTTGTCTCCTTTGATTCCCTGGGGGCTCCACACCCCATCTGGAGCACTATGCAGTAGCCAGAGACATCTAGTGGCTGAATAAAATATTGCAAGTTCATGCATGGCCACAGGAAACAGGATTTAACAAGTCAATGTTTTGCAACGAGTTTGACTTCAGTGAGGCTGCAGCTTTGGAACAGACAGAGGGTGTAAATTGCTCTTCACTGGCTCTCAAGGATGCAAATTGATTCAATAGCCTGTCACGGGGCCAAACATCAGGGTTCACTGTGGAAGTCTGGCACTTGCCAGGGTGGTTGGTGCCATTCTGGAAATTCTTAGTACAATAGAAAATAGCCAAAAGGAGGAATTCGGTATCTTGTTTTTCCGTCTCCATCTTTCATTAGAGCACTGGGCCCTGACCCCAGGAAAAGAAGGTATTTGCTCTGGCTGTGAGTCATGCAGGCTGACTGGCACTGGGCTCTGATTAGCCATGGCCTACCCTATTGTTGGTCCCCAGGCTACAGAGGGATGGTGGAGACAGTCAGTGCTAGTGGCTTCTCCTCCTTGGTTGGGGCTGGAAGGCCGAGAACTATAAGTGTTTGTAGCTCTGCTGAGAAGGGTGCGGAAGAACCAGCGGTTACTGGAGCCTTTAAAACACCTAGCGACTCCTGAGAAAGGAGGATCTCTGTGAAGGGAGGAGTGGGCAGCTAAGAGAGGGGAAGGGAGATTGCTTGGGTCCGCTCCTGAGCAGAGACTGAGAATAGCTCTCCAGAGCCAGGCAAGCCTTGTGCATGCCTCCCCATGCAGCTCTGCCAGTGCACTTTGATCTCAAGCCCACAGCCCCCGTCTGTTTGTCCTGCCACTCTGCTGATGTACCTCACACCAGACCTGCAGCACCCCCTGATATTACAGGGCTGGGCATTTTCCTATTCACAGACTGCTGACCAGACCTCACTGCTGCTAGGCATCGTTCTCGGGCCCCTTCTGGGCCCCAGTCCCAGAGCACAGCGTGTTCCTGGATATGAGCGAGCCTGCCAGGGAAAGGTGACCCAATAAAATCTGTGCTGAACAGGGCAGTGGCTGCTGCCAGCATGAGGGCACTACACACAGGGATGCATTGGGATATTCAACCCATTTGCACAGATCACTGGCGCTTTAAAGCTGAAACACCTGTTTGGGAAACTAAAGACCCTGCTTCATTCTCCTTTCCTCCAGTATCCCATGGGTTAATTCCAGTATAAAATCCCCGCCACACACACACCTGTCTGTGTGGTGGGGGGGTGTTCCTCCTTGTGGAGGCTCTGCCAATCACCCCATGCTGCGAACCTGTCTAGAGGTAGAGTCCTCTGCAGCCCCACGGCTGCTCGGCTGTTATTGCTTGTGTGTTGGATGCCTTGCATGGGTTATCCCCAATATAAAACTCCACACACACCCCCCAGGGGAGGTTGTAACATTGTTGGCTGGTGCATTTCCAGGAGGAAGAGGATGGACGTGCTGCTCCAAAGGACGTGGGCCGGGCTGCTCCTGTTGGTCATGGTCTGTGACGTATGCCTGTGCCAAAAAACCAGAAGTAAGTTCAGCTCTCCTGTCTCTCTCTCTCCTATTTGGTTACACTGCTGAAGTCCTTGGCCCTGGAGGTCTGGGGCACGGGCCTCTCCATCTGCCTTCTCCTGGCCTGCTAAGCCAGCCGCCTTGTGCCTGCTCCTATTCCAATCATTCCTGAAATGCAGAGCTTGTGGGTAGCACCCAGGTGTCCTGTCTGCTAGGCCCTGGCGCTATCCAAGACAATAGTTCTCCTAGTTCTTTTGTGTGCACTTGCTCCATAGCTCGCTTCCGTTGTTCTCTGACATACTCAGGGCCGCCCGACGGGGGGGGGGGGGGGGGGGGGGGGGAAGTGGGGCAATTTGTCCCGGGCCCTGCAGGGGCCCCCACGAGAATATAGTATTCTAAAGTAGTGCAACTTTTTTTTATGAAAGGGGCCCCCGAAATTGCTTTGCCCCAGGCCCGCTGAATCCTCTGGGCGGCCCTGGACATACACGCTGTCTCTGGTTTTGAGCCAGCTCCCACTAAGTCTGCGATAAAACTCCTATTGACTAGGAGCAGGCCCAGCCCCTCTGTCCGTGGCTCGCCCCTTCTTGCTTTCCAAGGTCGGGCTGGCTTCTTCCGCTCTTGATGCGTTCGATCTTGCCTCCTAGTTAATCGCTGCGTGGCCTCCAGAGCAAGAAGCTGCACAGAGTGTATCCGAGTGAGCAAGGACTGCTCCTACTGCACGGACGAGGTGAGCGCCTCCCCTCCCAGGACCTTGTCACGCACAGTGTGATCACGTGGCCGTTCACTAGAGAGAGGCCCCCCAACAGCATTCAAGAGAGGGAACCCGTGTTTAGATCCAGCTTTCACGATTGAGCCCCCTCCTTCTAATAGGCTGGATCCCGGCTTTGGCAACGTGGCTCCAGGCTGTCTCTGTCTGTCACTCATAGACAGTTTGGGGGTATTCCAAGGTTTTGGCTCAGGCCCGTGTCTCTTTTGACCTGCCGCCTCCTCTGTGCAGCCCTCTGCTCAGACTCCCGGAGAGCCTCCCTGCTAGGGGAGCTGCATAAGAGGCTCCTTTAGATTCTCCTTCCTCAAGAAATGGGTCCAAAGGGAAACGGACCTGGCGGCAGTATAACCCAGGGAGGGGGTCAGTTTGTGGTGGGCTCAGAGCAGGGATCTCTGGCTGCTCAGGGATAGACACCAACCCCCAACTCTGGAATGAGAGCGAGGGATGGGCATTTGGGTCCTGTGAGAGGAGGGGTTGGGCCGTGACCAGACAAAACAATTGCCCCACTGCCTTCTGGTCCCCCGTCTCTCCAGTCCAATGGCACAAGTTACCACGGTGCAGATCTGCCCAGACGTGAGCTGGATAGCCCAGTGACAAGAGAGCAAACGCATTTCTTGCAGAGGTGCCTTGGCAGGTAGCAGGGCCCCGGCCCCAGCAAGGTGGGGGGAAGGGGGGCGCACAGAGTAGACAACACGAGAGGTGCTGGCTCTGTGTGTGGGAGAGAAAGGAAGGTGGGGGCAGAGAGAGGAGGGACTCAAGTGAACCAAGAATGCAGGAAATGAGGACAGGTGAGGAACTTGTAAGAGGGCTTTGTTGTAATTTCAGATAAGCCTGATCTTTGGCTCAGTAGAGGGGGAGAGGGAGCAGAGAGGCAATGGGATGTAAAACACAGGCGGGTGAAGCACAGAGACCGCTAGCATAGACCACAATGTGGGAGAGGTGGAAGAATGAACAGGTGGGGGACTCCCTCTTTTCTAGCTAAGATGACGTTTCAGTATCTGTTTTATGCTCTCCAGGGGGGTCAGTGTTTGCAGGGGGAGAGGGCTGACTGGCTGAACACCCTGGTCTTCACGAACGGGACGGGAGCTGGGGCCTGCGACAGAGAGGTGTCCGAGGGGCAGTCTCTCATGAAACTGAAACGCCTGCCCAGGCGAGCCTTTTCCACTCCTGCCCGCTCCCAGCCTAGCGGAGGAGGGGCCGGCTGCCTGACCCCCGAAATGCTTCCCGTCCGCACGGGGCTCTGTTTATTTCCTAACTCTGTGGTTTTTCCTCTCCTGTGGTCACAGACCTTCAAAGAATCCCGCTGTGACCTGAGAGACAACCTGGTGAGCTATGGCTGCAGCGGGGCCAGCATTGTGTACGTGAGAGGAGAGATGCTGGTGCAGCAGGTGAGCAAAAAACACCTGAACTCTGGAGATAATCCACCAATGTTCTGCTTCTCATTTCCTTGACGAGCCTTTCGCTTGATTGCCTTCAGACAGCTCTTCAAGGGGCATCAGCGTGTCCCGAACCTCACCTTCTAGTTGTTATAATCTGCTGAGAGAACTCCCTCCAGATTCCTAAATACTTCTTTGCAATTCCACACGGCTAGGCGAATATAAATACCAGCAGCTATTGTTTACATAAGGCCTACTCAAAAACAGGCTACGCCCTTTGCTAGCTGATTAACATACCCCATTCTCAAAGCCCTGCTGGTGAAACGGATGCATGAACAAAAAGAGCCGCGCGTGTCAAGCTGTGTTAGAAATGCAGGAGCGGGTGATGCAGCTCGACGGGCTAACTCTGGCGTGGGTAATGGGATAACACAACCTTTCACCTCTAGGGCGCCAGTCAGAATTTAGCCAAGGTTGACCGCTGAGTGGGTCAGAACAGGGGGGAGGGGCAGGGAAATGTTGGGAAAATGTCCTGGATCTTTTTCCGCCCTATTGGAAACAATGACGTCAACATTTGACCCATGTGGGCCAGCTCCAGTTGACAGCTATTGATTGGAAGCCCTGATGCCTGTTTGGCAGCCTACCCAAAATGAGTTTGGGATCACAGCACAGTTCCTCGTGGAAAGGGGTAACGGCCACACCCACCCCACCACAAAGGGCACCAAGGCCTCGTCGGCATGGAGAATTTGGGGCAACCTCTCCCTTCTGTTGCTCTCATACAGTGTAGCTCCTTCAGCCCTAATGTAGACCAGCTGCTGGCGCCCTAGCATGGTCCTCTCACCCTGCCCAATCAACATGGCCTCTCTGGGGCTTCCCCTTGCCAATGCTGGTGCAGCTGGAGTGGGGTGGGCAATGGAAGGACCATCCTTCGTGCTGACAGGGCAGCAGAATAAACTATTCTCAAAGCTCCTAGTCCTCAGGTAGCTTAGACACGTCCGGGCACAGTCAGCGAGGGCCTGTCCTTAGAAATCACACGGATAAGAAGCAATCCACCTCAGTTAGCACAAAAATAAACAGACATCTCCAGCTGGGGGGTTAACCCAGACTCACCTGGGTGCAGGGGTTTCCCACTGGCGTCAGTCCCGCCATGTGTCCCCAGATGCCCTTCCCCTGAGCACGTGCAAGGGGAAGGAGAATGAAAGTTAACCCCTTGTTCACCACACACCAGCTATTACCCCTGCTTCCCATCGCAAGCACCAGGGTGAATCTCCTCTGCTGCTCTGCTAACCGTTTCCCGTTCTCTCCCCTGGCAGAATTTTAGCATCGACACGTCTCTGAAGAAAACCCAGGTGTCCCCACAGCGGATGTTCATGCGGCTGAGAGCTGGGGAGGAGGCCAGCTTCAACATAGACGTCTTCCAGCCCCTCGAGAGTCCTGTGGATCTCTACATCCTCATGGACTTCTCCTACTCCATGTCTGACGACTTGAACAACCTCAAAGAGATGGGCCAGAAGCTAGGTGAGGCTGGAGCAAGGCATGCTAGGGGAGGAAGGGAAACCAAGTCCCCCTACTGGCAGCATGGGCAGAGAATCTCCACCCAGGGCAGGGAACAGTAACACAACCGGCAGAGGGGCTGTGTGCATCTGGCCACCAGGTGTTTGTCGTTGTCCCTCGCTGCTTAGTGACGCACCTGGCCCTTTCTGGCCTGGGGTCCCTCTCCCCACCTGGAGTGTTCCTTCTGGCCCTCGCTGCACTACAGCATGAGTCCTTTTTTCTAGTCTTGTACTAAGAAAAGCTGAAAACCAGTGTCCTAGAGAGCGGGTGTGTTCTGTGTGGTGCCCAATGACCCAGATGCTCTGTTCCCCTCATCCCATAAGTCCTTGCACTAGTGAGGAGCCTTACCTGAGGCGTGGCATTCAGAACAGCTCCATGTGAAGGTGATGGGAAAAGGGCTGTGGTCTCAGCTGCGACCCTGCCAGTGCATCCCAGCTCACTGCTCTCTCTCCCTCCCTCCCTGCCAGCCGGATTCCTGCAAGACCTGACCTCCAATTATACCATCGGATTTGGCAAGTTTGTGGACAAAGTCTCGGCTCCACAAACAGACATGAGACCTGAGAAGTAAGTGAAGCTGAGAGGCTTCGATGAGATTGGTCAGGGAACGCTAGTCTGTCTCCTCATTGGCTCCCCCGCTCCGCAGTCTCCAGTGCTCAAACCCCCGTCCCGGTTTCTTCTCTTTGATAACTGCAAACCTCTCCTTTCCTGCCTTCCTGCCCTCCGCGCCAGTGTCTCCCAAACACCACGGCTAATGCCATCTCCTGCCCGCCCTCCGCGCCGGTGTCTCCCAAACACCACGGCTAATGCCATCTCCTGCCCACCCCCCGCGCCGGTGTCTCCCAAACACCACGGCTAATGCCATCTCCTGCCCGCCCTCCGCGCTGGTGTCTCCCAAACACCACGGCTAATGCCATCTGCTGCCTGTCCTGCCACAAGCCCACATCGGCCCCACTCCTTGGTTCCCATCCTTGGCTTTCCCTTTCCTACAACAATAAATTCAAGCTGCACATTCTCTTGTAGAGTTTAAGGCCAGAAGGGAACAGATGATCTAGTCTGGCCTTCTGTACATCGCTAAACACCATCCAGTCACTTCCATGCTAAGCCAACAACCAGAATTAGACCAAAGTATTACCACCCTCAGGAGACTAGATGACTGGGTGCTTTCAGAGCCCTATGTGATCTTGCTCCCACTCACGTCTCTGCTCTCACTGCCAGTGCTCCTCCCAGTCATCTCACCTCACTGCTCCTCATGTCACTTTTTGGACCTCTCAGCTTCATGCCTTTGTGCTGCCCCACCAACTGGAAAAGGGACTCTTCGTTCTGGGACCACCTTTCTCTCCTGCTTCTAATCTTTCTTTCTGCACCAATTCTTCCAGGGATCTCCTCTATCTTCTCACCAGTGATCCTCAAGCAGGGCCCTTCCTTGCACACCCTCTTGTCCCATGCCTTGCCGTGGGTTGCAGGGGCAGTACCTTGCTCTGTGCCAGACACGTTTACGGCACCATATGTGGTAATCCCTTGATGACTCCAGTAGCCAAGCCCCATTTGAAAGCCCTTGCTTTCCCTTTTCTCCATCAGGCTGCGAGAGCCCTGGAGGGACGCCGACTCGCCCTTCTCCTTCAAGAACGTCATCCGCCTGACCAGCAACATCCATCATTTCAGCCAGGAGCTGATGAAAGAGCGCATCTCCGGCAACCTGGACGCCCCGGAGGGGGGCTTTGATGCCATCCTGCAGACGGCTGTTTGCAAGGTGAGCGTGGAGGGGGCTGGCTCCTTTAGATGGTGTGTGTGTTGTTTGGGAGAGAGACAGCAGGTGGGATAGGTGACTAGCAACGTGGCTAACCCGAGCCCAGAACTCGGGGCCATACCTGGTGGGAGCTACTGCTCTCCCAGGATGGCCAGTCCGCTGCCCCTGCTGCTGTTGCTGAGACGGCAGCTTGTCTCGTCTTCCTAGAGTAAACCCCACTGAGAAGGTGCCTCCAGTCTGCGGTGCTCCCCTTGGGTCCCCTCACCCTCTGAGCTGTTCCCTTGTTCCTAGGGTTGTGTGGATCTGCTCCCCAGAGGCCAGCATGTTGTGGCAGCAGGTTTTCTGGCTGGGGAAACGGATATTTCCCTTATCAGCAGGCTAGCGCCCTGCCAGATATATCCAGGAAACAGCCCGCTTCTCCGCTGCGGCTGGACCTACCTGGACCGCCCCAGAGGCTCGGTGGGAGATGTGCACTGGGGGAGCAGGGAAGGAGGTTAACCCTTTCATCTCTGCCGTTTTTGAATTCCCTGGGCTGCGTGGCAGTTGGACGTGTGCACTAGCAGCGAAGGCGGGGATTATGAACAGAGTCAGGTACCCAGAGACCCCTTGACTTTCAGTGAGGAGTCGGGTGTCATGCTCTGAAAAGCCTTGCCTGCCACCGCTAGCGCGCTCGCTGGAGACTGGCCCGGTGCATTGTGTTTGATGGGCAAGTGAATGAAATGCCCCTCACCCTCCTTCCCTCTGGCCCTAGGAGAAAATCGGCTGGCGGACTGACAGCACTCACCTGCTGGTGTTCTCCACCGAGTCCGCCTTCCACTATGAAGCTGACGGCACCAACGTCCTGTCAGGGATCCTGCCGAGGAATGATGAGCAGTGTCACCTGAACCGAGCGGGCACCTACACCTACGACACCAAGCAGGACTACCCCTCTGTGCCCACCCTGGTGCGCCTGCTGGGCCAGCACAACATCATCCCGATCTTCGCCGTCACCAACCACTCCTACAGCTACTACGAGGTGAAAGGGGTGGGCGGGCGGACGGCTGGGTGGGAGGCGCAGGGAGTTAAGGCAATCGTCATGGGTAGGGTTGCCAACTTTCTACTTGCACAAAACCGAACACCCTTGCCTTGCCCCGCCCCTCCTCTGAGATCTCACCCATGCCACTCCCCTTCTCTGAGGCCCCGCCCCCACTCACTCCATCCCCCCTCCCTCTGTTGCTCGCTCTCCCCACCCACACTCACTCGCTCATTTTCACTGGGCTGGCTCCGGGGGCTGGGGTGTGGGAGGGGGTGAGGGCTCCGGGTGGTGGTGTGGGCTCCGGGGTGGGGCCAGAAATTAGAAGTCCAGAGTGCGGGAGGGGGCTCCAGGTTGAGGCAGTGGGTTGGGATGCGAGGGGGGCTCCAGCTGGGGGTGCAGGCTCTGATGTGAGGCTGGAGATGAGGTATTTTGGATGCAGGAGGGGGATAAGGGCTGGGGCTGAGGGGTTTGGAGGGCGGGAGGGGGATCAGGACTGGGGCAAGGGGTTGGGGCGCGGGGGAGGGAGTGAGAGCTCCGGCTGGGGGTGGGGGCACTGGGGTGGGACTGGGGATGAGGGGTTTGAGGTGTAGGAGGGTGCTCTGAGCTAGGATCGAGGGGTTGGGATGGCGGGAGGGGGACCAGGACTGGGGCAGGGGGTTGGGGCCCGGGAGGAGGTCTGGGGTGCAAGCTCCGGGTGGCACTTACCTCAAGCAGCTCCCAGAAACAGTGGCACGTCTCCGCTCCTGCTCCTACGCAGAGGCGCGGCCAGGTGGCTCTGCGTGCTGCCCCGTCCGCAGGCGCCGCCCCCGCAGCTCCCATTGGCCATGGTTCCCGGCCAATGGGAGCTGCGAGAGCGGCGCTTTGGCGGGGCAGCGTGTGGAGCCCCCTGACTGCCCCTATGTGTAGGAGCCAGAGGGGGGACGTGCCGGCTGCTTCCGGCCTCGCTGTCATTCCACCTCTAGCTGGTTAGTGACGTGCCTGTTGTGTTAGGTGAGAGGAAGATCTGGGGAGGCGTGTTGTGCAAATGTTTGGCTAACGACAGGGCAAAGGGAAGAATGGCCTTGTGGATAAGGCACTGGACTGGGACTCAGGAGACCTCCATTCTGTTCCCACCTCTGCCACAGACTCCCTGAGTGACCTCGGGCAAGTCACTTCATCTCTGTGCCTCCATTTTCCCACTTGCAAAATGGGGATAATCACCCTTCCCCCACTCCAGGAGTGAAATTCATTCTGGTGGTGCGGGGCCCAGGCACTGCAACGGAAAGTACCAGAAAAAAGCCTACACTAAAGTGGGGAAGGGAAGGGGTGCAAAAAGGAAGAGGTCCTTCTCGCTTCTGGGCATTGATTAGGCCACCCTCCAAATCCACCTCCCTCTGGACTGAGCGGGCTTGTCCCACTGGGTTTGTCATGCTGATGAATGCGGGTGGAGTGGGCAGGAATTCAGAACTACAAGATCCCACGTGCCACCTGTCCTGTGCATAGAAAAATGATGTTTGGAAGGTGCCCCCAACCATTCCCCACTGTGCTGCTTCACCGTCGTTGTGTTTGGAGTGATGCTCGCTCTGAATCTGGAGGTGAAATGGGGGAAGCCGCTGCTTTTTATGAAGAAGTGAATTAAACTACCTGAGCAAGATGGGGCCAGGGATGTCTCGCTTTAGGCAGGCTTCAGAGAAACGCCACACACCAGCTGTCAGCTCCAGCACAAACGCCCATTGGCAGTTCGTAGCCTGAAGGCAGGGCTCTGCTACCTTTGCGGCTGGTTTATGGAAATGAACCCTTGCAAGGGTGTCTCCGGAACCGCAATATTCCTGCAAGGGTTTGTGGCTTAGCTTCCTCTCCCTTTGTTTTTCAGAAGCTGCACAAGTATTTCCCCATCTCGGAAATCGGGGTGCTGCAGGAAGACTCCTCCAATATCGTGGAGCTGATTCGCATGGCTTTCGAGGTAAGAGATGGCCTCTGGGGTGTCGGTCTAGCTCACAAAATCAAGCCACTGGGCAGCTGGGTAGGGGGAGCATTCTGCCAGGGAAAGAGCAGTGGGGCAGGCGAGAAGGGGAGGCGTGGATGGGTTATGCGCTGAAGATAAGTGCTGTTGGGATCTACCTTTTGTTCTTCCATCCCAGCGTATCCGTTCCAAGATGGACATCCGGGCTGACTCAGTCCCTAAGTCCATGAAGACAGAATTTACCTCCTTGAAATATAAAAAGACAGAGTCTGGGTCGTTCCATGTCATCCGAGGGGAAGTGGTAAGTCCTACGCTGAGCTTCAATCCATCTGTAACGGTTCTTAGGGTGCCCAGGGTTGTGAGTCACCTTGTTACCTCCCTACCTCCAGCGTGAGAGAGACTTGCTTGTGCTGCACTCGGTGTCAGCTCCCTGACACCACCAGCTGTCAGCCACCCAAGCAATCTTCTCTGGGCTATGCCAACCGAACTTTGCTTTGCGGGTTACCAGTAGATGCACCCCACTCCGAGTCCCTTTGAAGCGTTCTCCTGTTACGTCCAGCCCCTGACACTGAACGCTCACAGAAATGACCAGGTTTGCTGTCCCCAAAAGAACACTACACACACCTTGACTGGTTCTACACAAGACCAGCTCCTATAGGACATCAGAGCCCTGAGATATATTTATAGTGAAAACAATCTGAAGTTTATTATCAAAGATTAAGATTGAAGAGACAGTGAGTAAGGATAATGGAAACAGGATGGTTAAGTGTAAAACAAAGTAGAGCGCTCTTCCTAGAGCCATATGCGGCTCCTTGTATAGGCACTGACTCCGGGGCTGGAACTACAGGCGTCAACTTTCCAATGTGCCGGGGGGGTGCTCACTACTCAACTCCTGGCTCTGCCACAGGCCCTGCCCCCACTCCACCCCTTCCCGCTTCCTCCCCTGAGCCTGCCCGAGCCTCCTGCATGCCAGGAAACAGCTGATCGGGAGGCGTGGGGAGGGCTGCCGGTGGGTGGGAGGTCCTGGGAGTGGGCGGGGAGGGGAGCTGATGGGGGGCTGCTGACTTATTACTGTGGCTCTTTGGCAATGTATATTGGTAAATTCTGGCTCCTTCTCAGGCTCAGGTTGGCCACCCCTGTCCTAGAGTCTAAACATAACAGAGTAAGCTTCTGTCTAAAGATGCTGATCTCACCCAAAGCAATCTTCCAGCATCTCCAACCAACTAGCCGGGATCCCCCTTTCATGAATGCAAAAAGCGCTGTCCTTTTGCTTCCTCAGTGAAGGATAAAGAGGCTTCCTTTTGCCTTCTCCTTATATCCCCTCCTCCTCCCACAAATTCATTGTTTGTCCCCAGATTTGGGATGACCCCTCCTGGTGTGTTGACCTCACATCTGTATGCTGACTTTGTCTGCAACTGGGGCACTTCCATTGTGTTTGCTTACAATGCTTAATTTACACGTCAACCAAGGCAGACGAGTCAATATACATCCTGTGTCTGGCAGAAACTTGTTTGTCAACCCTGCCCTGATTCAGACTTTATGAACATATGTCCGTGGTACAGTACATACATACATAACTTTTAAAATACCATCAATACGTACACATCACAACAATTATGAGGATCACTATGACATAGGGTTGCCAACTTTGTAATATTTAAAAACCGGACACTCGAGCAGGAGTGCTGGAACCTCTCCTTCCCCGCCCCTTTCCCCGCATGGCCCTGCCCCTGCCCACCACGCCTCACCCCTGCCCTGCCCCTTCCCCCGAGGACCCGCTCCTGCTCTGCCCCTTCCCCTGAGCCCCCACCCCCATTCGCTTCTCTTTCCCCCTCTCCCCCACTCCTTGTAAGGGTCAGGAGGGACTTGACTGGGAGCTGCAGCCGCCTGATGCAGGTGGGAGGCGGCCCTGGCTGAGTAGGGACTGGCGCGGGTGATGACTCGGCGCCTCTCCCGCACGCAGTAACCAGACTTTGGTTGTCCAGTCAGTAGATCTGACCAGACACCGTCAGGTCCCCTTTCCAATTGGACTTTAAGGTCGAAAACCGGACACCTAGCCACCCTACTATGACCTAAGCCTTTATTAGAGACCTCATGTGACATCATTTATGGATAAATACCATGAAAGCCGTGTGCTAATGGTTGGGAGTTTGTCAGGCGTGTTAGGAGTTGCTGTTACACAATAGTGAACCCGTTGCCAGTTGGCACTGAGTGGCTCTTAAGGTCACACCTCTTCCCTTACAGTAGGGTCAGCCACTGGCTGATCTGCAGGTGTCGGGTCATAACCCTCTTGCTTGAACAGGACATCTGTCATAATATTTTCTCTTCCCTTAATCGGCACAGTTTCCATGCCATGTTCTTGGAGCGTGGTGTAGCAGTTTGGAATTAGTACCTTGGGTTTGATGCAGCCACACCAGTGGATATCGATCTGTCAGGGTCCTAAACCTTCTGTTAATAGACAGGGCCTTACCGGTTTGACATCCCATACAATGGGATAACATTCTTTTTCCATGACTCAATAATTCTGTTCAGTGGGTGTCAGTTTTTTACTTCAGAAAGCGACAGGAAGCTTTTTGTTACGTCCCCCTGTTTGCGTCACCGCTGCACCCAAACCAGTGTCCGATGCATCAGTGCATAGTTCAAACATTTTGTCAAAATTTGGACTGGGCAGAACAGGCTTTTCTGACAGGATTTTCTTTACCTCATCAAAACCTTTTGTCCCCACCCTGTTTTGTTTGGTTTTGGCTTTTGCACAAGTCTGTGACTGCAGACACAATGTCACTGAAACGTGCACGAATCGGCGGTAATAGTTAACCAACGCTGTCAAAGACTGGACTTGTTTTTCAGTCTGGGCCATAGGCCAGATGACAACAGCTTTCACTTTCAGGGGATCAGGAGAAATTTGGCCACCTCCCAACCAGTGTCCTAAATAAGGAACTTCAGCAACTTCTGTTTTACATTTTGACACCTGTACAGTAAGACCTGCATCTCTGAGTTTTGTTAGCACAGTGCCCAAGTGATTTCAGTGATCTGACCAAGAACTGCTAAACAGTGCAATGTCGTCAGTATAAACTCGGGCAAAGTCTTGTAGCTCGTTTAACACTTGATTAACGAGCCTCTGAAAGGTGGTTCCTGCATTCCTGTGCACTCCGAGAACCCTCATGCCATCTGTCTTGGAGACTTAGCTGGCCCGCATCATCATGGTATCTGAGCACCTCAGTCTTCAGTGTATCCATGCTCACAACACCCCTGTGAGGTAGGGCAGTGCTGTTATCCCCATTTTAGAGAAGGGGAACTGAGGCACTCAGACTAAGTGATTTGCCCAGGGTCATGCAGGGAGTCTCTCTCTCAAAGCAGGGAAATGCACCCAGGTCTCCTGAGTCTCAGGCTAGCGTCCTTCCTGTCTTGTGTAGGTTAGCAGCAATTTTGGCATGTGCACGTTCCTGGTGTTACCAGAGTAACAGCTGGACTTAAGCTCCTTGGAGCAGGGACAGTTTTGTGGTGTTTGTACAGCACCTAGCACAATGGGGTCCCTCATTTATTATTGCGGCTTCTAGGTGCTGCTGCAATACAGATGAATAATAGCGGAAGGTACTTTGCAGGCCGAGCCTCTACAGCCAGGGCAAGATAGTTCCCCACCATTCATTTATTGTCCTGGAAAGGAGATAGCTTTTTTTTTTTTTTTTTTTTAATACCTGTCTCTATCCTTCCCTTTACAATGTCCCCAGCCTCTCACCTCCAGGCCGCCAGTTCAAATCCACCAGAGCAGCGGCTGGATCTAGAAGGGGCGTTTGGCTGCTGGCAGCTAACAAACGGGTCTCTTCCATTCAGGGCAGCTTCAAGGTGCGTGTGAAAGCTCATGAGTACGTGGGCGGGGAGCACGTCTGCAACCTCCCTAAGAAAGAGCAGCAAGGGGTAATCCACGTGAAACCCTCCTCTTTGAGTGACAGCCTGAAAATTGACGCCTCCGTCATCTGTGATGTCTGCCCCTGCGAACAGGTATGGAGGCTGCACTCCCACCGTCTTTGCTTCCGGGGGAAATCTTGGGATGTTTTCTGCTCTGATACAGATCCGGGATTGTAATGAATTGGCTAGTGTGTGTGAGCACCACTGCCCTCTACTAGATGGGATCCTCACTGCTCAACTGTGTGTCATATGCCCCTTGCAGCTACCAGCTAACGGAGATTCTCCTTTAGCTCAGGTAGTCAGGGTTTGTGCTTTTAGAGCAGGAAATCTGTCCTTGCTGCTGCCATGAATGGCTGGGGTGAGCAGGGTAGTATCAACTGCAAAGAGCTTGGTGGCCATGGATTTGTTTCACCGTTGGGGATCTGGGGGTGGAATGGAGTTTACAGGTGTGTCTGCTCGGGGTGCTGCGGGCAGCGTCTCTAGGCATTTTGAGGGAGGCTTCCAAAGTGAAGCGACTTTATTGTTCCCAGCGTCCTGTGGAACAGATTCCTAATCTGGCCAAGGAGACATTTTGCTACAGCCCCGTGCACAGAGCCAGGGATACAGTACCTGCTAAAAAGAGCTCCCCTCATATCCTGCTGAAGATCTGCCCACCCCCCATCCGCCCTCTCTTCATGTGCCCTCAGGGGGCCATCAGCAGAGGGTCCTAGAGACCCTAGAGCCTGCTAGTCTGTCTTCTAGGGACATGTGACTGGGTCTGAGTCTCTGGAGGAGGGTCAGTAACGTCCCGTCTCTTTCTCGTTTACAGCAAAAGATGGTTAGATCGGCCATGTGCAGTTCCAACGGGGACTTCGTCTGTGGGCAGTGCGTCTGCTACCCGGGCTGGTAAGGATCCTGTCCAGCGCTGCTCCGTAGGGGACCCAGTCCTGGAAACCTCCTCCTCCGGGCTTCAGTTATCAGTGGTGGTCAAAAGATCTTGGCTTAGGCTTTCTCACCCTGTATGTGATGGCTGCTCTCTCTGTGGATGTGAATCTCCCCACTGGCTCACATGCCAGGGATCTGTCCCCTGATGGGCCCCGTGGTGCCTCTGGCTTCTAAGGCCTCTCAGTGTGTGTCTCTCTCTCTCTCTCTGCCAGGCGAGGGGACATGTGTGACTGTTCCACAGCCTCTTCCAGTGACAACCAGGCCTGCATCCGCCCTGGAGACTCAGAGCCCTGCTCGGGGCGGGGCGAGTGCCTCTGTGGGAAATGCCAGTGCTATTCTGAGGACCTGACCCAGCGCTACGAGGGTGACTTCTGCCAGTTTGACAACTTACAGTGCCCGCGCACCTCCGGCTTCCTCTGCAATGGTGAGTGGGGGCCGAGAGGCTGGCAGCTGCTAGCTGGCCTCGGGGGCTCCTGCAGCTCCTTCCCGTGGGGCGCTGCCCCGACAGCGGCGGGTGCAGCATGGTTTTGGTAGCGAAGCAGGCGCAGAGCTTTGCCATTCACACCCCTCAAGATGTGAGCTTCAACGCCAGATGTGCAAATGCCCCACAGTGCAGGGGTTAGATCCGGAATGTTGGGTCAGGACCCATCTCTGCAAAGAGCTTTTCGGAACAGTAACTTCCTAGAATGGCTGCGAAAGCTTGTCCACCGGCTCGCGTGACCCAGACAGCCCTTGAGAGTTAGCGCTCAATACAAATACTAAATACAACACAGAGCCTGGCTTTTAGCCTGCACCTGTAACAAATCTTCCTGGTCATAGAGAGGCTGGGGAGAGAACCCAGGACATGGGGCTCTGAATAGAGAGGCCTCTGCTCCTTGAGCTACAGGAGATTTCCTTTAGCTGGCGCTAGTAGTAGTAGTAGATCCTTTTATGCACTAAGAACCAGCCACTAGAGAGAGACATGGCCCCCCACACATCCTGAGCCAGAAGGTCACACTGCAAAGCACAAGGAAGGGAGTGCGCTTTGCTAACCTTAAAGTTGCTTTGGCCCCAGGGCCACAGTGAAGGATCGGTGCAGCTCAGGTCTGATTAGAGTCCTGGATCCTGGCCCACCCCTCATTGAAGTGAATGGAAAGATGCCCATTGATCTGAATGAAACTGGATCATGCCCCTGGTCTGTAATCAGTATCATCAATTGCTTCTTCGGACCACGCTTGCGACTATCCCTTTTCCTCTCCCCCAGGGGACAAAGCCCAGCGATCTAAGATACAGTGAGGGAATCCTCTAGGGAGCAGCTGGGATGGCTCATGGGACTGAGAGTTGAAGGCAGGAATATCCTTAGGGGATCAGGAGCTAGAGATGCCGCCCAATTCAGCACTCACCTGTAGCATCCGCTCTTTCTCTGCAGATCGTGGTCGCTGCTACATGGGTCAGTGTGCATGTGAAAGTGGCTGGGGGGGCCCTGGCTGTGAATGCCCCACAAGCAATGACACCTGCATCGACAGCAAAGGGGTAGGTTACTGAGGGCAGGATTGTGCCATGCAGGGGCGGGGGAGGGCAAACTAGGTGGAGGCTGGGTCTGACTTTCCTGCTACCCTGGATCCAAAGGGTTCGGGGTTAGAGAGAGATCTGGATCCAATTAAGCTGGAGCGCTGGATGGCCTGAGAGAAGCAAGTGCGGCTGCGGGTGGCACAATGCTCTCCCTAGCCCAGTGCTATCCCATGAGTGGGGGAGTTTCTTCCTGACCCCAGCTGATGATCAGCTCCTGCCCTGACACATGAGGATTCGATGGACTGGATCATTTTTATCCCAGCTGTTGTCACTGTGGGTAAGTGATGAGGATGCGTGGGTGAGGGAGAGGTTGACAGGGCAACACTGAAGGAGAGCCACTGCTCTAGGACCTCTGTTACCAGCAGCACTAAGTGAGGGTTTATCACTAGTGTCAGAGGCTGATCCTGGCCCCCTCTACTCCTGCAGGGGATCTGCAATGGCCGTGGGAGATGTGAATGCGGCAGGTGCATCTGCGACAGGCCTTCTCGGTTCACTGACCTCACCTGTGAAATCAGCTACTCCCTGGTAAGGCTCCCAGTTCAATGGTCAGAGACCAGTACTCCTAATGCATCCCCTCTCTGCTCACAGCCTGGCTCCTGAGCCTCTGGGGGAACATGGGGCTCTTGAGAGGGCTGGGGGGAAACCCCAAACAAGGCCAAGAGCACATACAGGCCAGAAGCAATCTCCTGGGGACGGTCCTGCTCGTTAGAATGGTTTCCATCCTGGGACAGCAAGGCTAGAGTAGCTGTTGAATGGCCACCGAAGGCTCTTAGCCAGGTCTGTTTAGCTCACAGATGCTATTAAACTGATAAATACAACAGTATACCAAGATATGCATTTACAGGAAGGGAGCAGGCCTAGTGGTTAGAGCATATGTCTGGGATTTAGCTCCTGGCTTCTATTTCTGACTCTGAGACACTTAACTTCCCCGTGCCTCGGTTTCCCCAACTTTAAAACGAGGAATATACTTCGCTTCTTCTCAGGGGTGTGGGAGACTCAGGTTGTTATAATGTCTGTGAAAGCTCTCTGAGATCCTCAGATGAGAGCTGCTACCTCAGGGCAGAATATCAGTGTAGATTATTTTACTGAGATGGGGCTGATTCAAAACCCCAGATCTAAATATCTCCTACATTTGGGAAAGTTTGGCTCTGGATCAAAACTTTGTGACCCGGGGCCTGTCTCTGCTGATACACTGCGTGCATTGTGTGCGTACGTGCATGTGTTTGAATCTGGAGTTTTGGTTTTGCCCACTATAGAAATTAGGAGCCAGCTGCCAAAATCTAGATCTGGGTTCAGATTCCAAATTCCACCTCCAGGCCCGAAAGGAAAAGCATCCAGGATTGTTTGGGATTTCAGTTGGTCTGTAAAGGGATTTGAACTGAGCTGGGTTCCCACTCACCTTCCGCTGCAGAGTCGCTCTTTGTATGTCACCGCCACACACTTTCATGCTAGTCAGCCCCGGTCTGATGTCCCCGCTCCACCCCCTCCCTTACTCTGACGATGAGGGTGCATGAATTGTCTCCAACACTCATCCTTCAGAATCCGACGTTGTCCCTCCCTCTCTCCCCCTCACCGTCTGATGTCATGTCTCTGGTGCACAGGGCGTGCTGGGGGTTTGCGAAGACATTCGAAGCTGCGTCCAGTGCCAGGCCTGGGGGACCGGGGAGAAGAAGGGGCAGAAATGCCAGGACTGCTCTTTCAAGATCCAGATGGTGGATGAACTGCAAAAAGGTACTGAGCCCTCAGCCTGCGGGTGTCAAAGCTCTGTGTGTATCTCACGTGGCTTCCCCGAGCCCGGACCGTGTGTGTTTTGTGTGCAAGCAGCGCCTAGTACAATGGGGCCCAATCCCAACAGGAGCCTCTGGGTGCTACCTCTCATGACAACAGTCGCACACCCCCCCCCCTCTCTCTCTAGCGAAGGAGGTGAACGAGTACTGCTCGTTCCAGGACGAGGAGGACGACTGCACGTACCGCTACACCCTGGAAGGGGATCCCGGCACACTACACAACAACACCATCCTGATGCAGAAGAAGAAAGGTGAGCGGGGCCTGGTGGGGGGAGGAGGCGTGGGTAGGGCTCAGAGCTAGCAGGGCCTTGTGCCCACGCCCACCGCTGATCACAGCTCGACCTCTCTCTCTGCCCCTTGAGGGCGTCAGAGCTGCAAACTCTAAGTCTGAGCTCCCCCTGGTGACCATTCTAGAGGCCACTTCTCTCCTAATGAAGAGTATGAACTTGGAGCTAGTGAAAGGTAGCACCCACCCCATCCACAGCACAGGCCCAGCATGGGCGGGGAAGGTGCAAGCTACGGGGCCCCCTCAGGGCCAAGAGCATGGCTCAGTCTCCAACTCACGTCTCCAAGGACACCTGCAAACCCTGGCTTGCCTGCCCCACAAAGGGGAGCGCACCCCACAGCAATAAGCTGAAATATTGAGGGACCCCCTCGCTGAGCCCCCAGCCACTTCCGGCCCGTGGCTTGTCTTTGCGCCTGTCCATAGCACCCCGAGCGCATTGGTGGGGTTGTACAAATAATGCTAAATGATCTGGCCAGGCCGTGGTCACTCGGCCAAGGCTGCCAGCAGAGGGGCCTGGTAGAGCCCATGGGGATGGTTACTGGGAGCTGGTTACCATTGTCCCGTGGGAACTGGACTGAGATTCCCCCCAGTTCATCCCACACAGGCCACCCAACAGCCATCAGCTGGGAGCATTTTTCAGTCACTCCTGAAAAACTGGCTACATGCTAGGGAGTGAATGAAGAGCTGGCAGCCCCCTCTCCTTGCCTGGCGCTTGTGGGGGAGCACCTGGGGCAGTCGCAGGGATGTTACTGGATCTAGGTTTGGCTGCATCCTCCCAAGGAGAATTCTGGCTGCCCCCTCTCCCATTCCCCCATCCCTTTCTCTGGCTCTGCTCTCCTTCCCTCTCCCTCTCTTCCCACCCCAGACATGCTGGGCTCGGCTGCCCCCAGTTAACCGCTAGTTTATTGCTGCTGGTTGCAGAGTGCCCACCAGGAAGCTTCCTGTGGCTCATCCCCCTGCTCATTTTCCTGATGTTACTCCTGGGGTTGCTGCTGCTGCTCTGCTGGAAGTACTGCGCTTGTTGCAAGGTGAGATCCGGGTCCTGCCGTGCGGGGCTGCACTCAGACCCCCGGGGCAGGTGTGGCAGACACGGGAATTATCCAAGGCTAGAGACTGAAATCCTAGCTCTTGGAAAGCAGCCGTTCAGACTCATCTCTCGGAAGACGCTTTACAAAAGGCCCCGCTGCGCCTTTGCTGATCCAGCTGGGAAGCCAAAGGGTCTGAATGTAATGTAGTTTGGGGGGAAAGAGGGCCCGTTCCCATTGGAACTGAGGGGGGTTGTGCCAGTGGCTTCAGTAGGAGGTAGATTGGAGCCAGCATGTGCCAAACAGTCCTGTCACATCCGTGGCTGTGTCCCCCTTAGGGTAAACACACTGGCCCACAAGGGACAGCAGTTGGTCTGTGGTTTTAGCGGGCAGAGGTCTAGGCTTTCCAAATGTGGTTAGCCCTGCACTGCTGAGGAGTTTGCAGCCATCTCCCTTAGTGCTGTCGTGTGCACAGGCCAGGATGGCGTGGGGGCTAACGGAGATAGGGGGAGGCAAAGGGACCTGGCCTCAGCATTCCCAGGGGAACGATGACATGGGGTTGGCAGCTCTTGCCATCCCACATGGAGACCCCACAAGTTGTATCCATGCCCCCCCCACAATGGCTTCCTGTTGCTGATCTAACCCTCTCCGGCAGCACGGGAGGGAGCATTCGAGGAGCTCCTGGCCACAGAGGGACTCTCCATTTCTGTTTTTTTGTCTCCTAGGCTTGCCTGGCCCTGCTGCCCTGCTGTGCACGAGGTACCTTGTTCTGGGGGGAAGGGGACCGCTTTCGGAGGGGGTGCGCTTCCTGTACGGATAGGAAGGGAAGGGGCTGGGCGGAAGCAAGACCCCCAAGTGGGGTTAACCCTTCAGGAGCCTGAAAGGCTCAGCTGGGCAAAGGTTCTTAGTGGAGACCAGTGGCCTTGGTGGGACACTGGACAAGCCGTGTGTGCTCCCTACGGGACAGAGCCGGGGCTGCTGCTAGAGCACGGCAGCTGAACGGGCACCGTTTATTCAGTGGACACGCAGGATGTCCTGCTGGCCTGATGCACCCTCACTGCCCTTTGGTCCCCCATGAGCCATGCCAGCTCTGGGCAGATGCCGCTGGCATCCTGGGCTTGTAACTTGCAAGAACGATCCCTAAGAGCAAAGCACCGAACCTCAGGCAGCAGATGGATCGAGGGGCTCCTGGAAGGTCCTCCTGGGGGCAGTGATCTCGGGAGGGGTAAGTTCCACAGGGGCCAGGAAGAGGTTGCAGCCGCTGTAGAGAGGAGGGTTTAATGGGTCCCTTGCTGGCGTCTTGGCAGAGAGGCCCTGGATGAGCTGGGCCATGGAGTCAGAGCTCCCCGGCAGGGCAGTGCGTTGGGGGAGCCTGCTTTGTGGTTTAAACGGAGGGGGTCTGTCAGTCCAGCACCGCGTGAGTGCAGGGCACAGCCTGAGCCTTGGAGCCCTCTGAGCTTTAACCTGCTCCCCCCTCACCCCGCAGGCCGCACTGTCGGGTTCAAAGAGGATCACTACATGCTGCGGCAGAGCCTCATGGCTTCGGACCACCTGGACACCCCCATGGTGCGCAGCGGCTCCCTGAAGGGCAGGGACACCGTCCGCTGGAAGATCAACAACAACGTCCACAAGCCGGGCTTCTCCTCCCACACCACCACAAACCCCAAGGAGCTGAGTGAGTGCTAATGCCGGGGGGGAGTGTGTGTGTGTGCATGGCCTCCCACTGACGCCAGATGGGAAGAGAGTTTGGCAGCCTTGGGGTCTCCTCCTGGCCCTTCACAATCCCCAGGTCCTAGTTAGCCCCTTTCCCAGGACAGCACCCCTGCGAGGAGACTCCCCTTCCCTTTCTCTTCTCCCGCCCCCAAGGAATAGACGCCTGCCCCACAAAGTATATCCCCTCTCTGTCGCAGTGACTGCGAGGGTCCCCCGGGCCCGCCACCGTGAGCATCCCCAGACGTTCCAGCCTAGAACCGCTATGCCAAGCAGATGCCCCATCTCCACGTGCTGCCTTAGCTCGGCAGGCTGCTGCCTGGATTCAGCCTTCCGCTCTCCCTGCTGCTGCTTTGGGAGTGGTGAGGGCAATGATCGCTCTACTCCTCCATCCAGAGCGGCTGCTGAGACAGCTCCTCGGGCGGCTGCCTTCCTTGGGCTCTGGCTGTGTCTTGCCCAGCGCCTACTGGTTGCCGCAACTGATGGTCTGAGCACCATGTGAGCCGTCCGAGCCCTGGAAACTGGGCGCTGCTGGCTGGGGTGTGGGCCACCAGAGCCCTGGTGTTTCCTGACTCCCAGCTGTTCACGGGGTGGTTTCTCTGACTGACAGTGAGGGGGTCTGACCGGGGATTTCTCTCTCCAGTTCCTTACGGCATCTCGCTGAGACTGGCCCGGCTTTTCACCCAGAACCTCATGAAACCGGACAGCCGGGAATGTGAGCAGCTGCGCAAGGAGGTGGAGGAGAACGTAAGGGGCCAAACCGCTCTCTCTGGGCTTTGCCTTTTGGGGCGGAGGGAGCCAGGTACAGCCGGTGTGAGCTGTGGCTCTGTGGCTAGGGCCCAGGAAAGCCGGGGGCCGGTTGGGTGCAGCCAACAGGGCTGGGGAGCGGATGGAAACGGACATGGATTCTGAAGGGCTCATCTTACCGAGGAGGTTCTCCCTGCCGAGGGTGGTACGGACGAGGGGGAGGCCCTGGGTTCTCTGGCTGGGGTGGTACAGAGAGGTGGGCAGGAGGGTGGGGTTGTAGCGAGGGAGAGGGCTGAGCGGAGCCTGCTCGGTTTGCTGGCAGCATGGTGCCTGCTGTGCTGAGTCCCTGTGGGGCTGTAACAGACTCTCTTGCTCCTTACAGCTGAACGATGTTTACAAGCACATTTCCGGTGTCCACAAACTCCAGCAGACCAAGTTCAGGTGAGTGACCCAGGGACAGAGCGGATGTAGGGGTGCTGGGAAAAAAGGAGGGCATGGGGCACCCAGGGCTGCAAACTCTGACCTAGAGGGACACCTAAACTCTGCATGGGCAGTTTCCGAGGAGTAATCCTTCCCCGCAGCCCAGGTGCCGTGGTACCCCCAGTATCGTGATGTGAATGCCAGGGATTCACATGCTTGCCAGGGGCCTCCCAACTTGCCCCCAAAGGCACCACCATGGACTCTCTGGGCTACTTCTGGCTCCGTACATGGTGCTAAAATGCTACAGGTCTAATCACGTCTCGCTGAAGTCAGTGACCAAATTCCCATAGACTGCAGTGAGGACCAGGTTTTGGCCCTGTAAACGTGGTATCCTCCTCTCAGCTGGGAGAATCGTTCCCCAAGGTTAACTCTCTGTAAACCACATCCCTGGGCACGTCTGCTATGGTGTCTGGACGATCTGGGTCATAGGGAGCAGCAGGACATGTAGGGACCAGTGCTGGGGGTCAGCAGCTCTGGGGGACACAGCAGAGAGATGCCCTGCGTGGCACTTGCTAGCCAGCGTCCCACAGTACGTGGGGTTCTTCAGAACTTGCGATCGTGGGCCACACATTGCACAAGAGCAAGGACAGAAACTGGAGCGACAGGGAAAAGTCAGAGGTGGGACTTGAACTCCTGCCTTCAGTGTTCCCACGAGGGAGCTCGGCTGCTGGAGCCAGCGGAGCAGCTCTCATAGCTCTAGCCTGCTATAGACAGACTCTGGGTACTTCGAGACCTTCATGGCACCCCAAGTGGGATTTGGTGGGGTTATTCACTCTTGCTGGTCTGTTTTTTCCCTAGGTTGCAGCCCAATGCCGGGAAAAGGTAGGTGGAGTGTTCATGTGTCTCTCTCCTTCGTCCCTGTGCGAGTGTCTGTGCGTGGCGCGTGTGTATTGGCTGATTGAAAGCTTTGATGGCTGACTAGCGCTGTGAATGGCTGGTTGGCAGAGGCATCTGATTGACAGAACAGGGGCAAGGCGTGAACTCCTTTCTCTCATCCCCCTGACTGGGCTGCAGGCAGGACCACACGATTGTGGACACAGTGCTCACCGCTCCCCTTTCGGCCAAGACGGAGATCGTGAAAGTGACGGAGAAACACGTCTCTCAGGAGGCTTTCAATGAGCTGAAGGTGACGCCGGGTTACTATACCGTGACCTCTGACCAAGGTAGGAGGCGAGTGTTGAGCTTATTGACCAAGGCAAAATAGGGGTTTGTGAGGAGGGACCCTCTCAGCTATGCCCTTTCACCCTCTCCGCCTGCGCAGATGCCCACGGGATGGTGGAGTTCCAGGAAGGTGTGGAGCTGGTGGACGTCCGGGTCCCACTCTTCATCAGGGAGGAAGACGACGATGAGAAGCAGTTGCAGGTGGAGGCGATTGAGGTCCCCATGGGGACAGCGGCGATTGGACGCAGGCTCGTCAATATCACCATCATCAAAGAGCAAGGTGAAGGGGGCGGAGGGGCGTGTGATAAGAAATTCTCAAACCTAGATTAATAGCTCCTAAGGCCAGAAAGGACCATTCTGATCTAGTCTGAGCTCCTGCACAACATAGGCTGGAAACCCTTACCCAGGGATTCCTGTCTCCAGCCCAGTGATTTGTGTCTGAACTAGATCATCTTGATTTGAAGACAAGAAGGGAAGGAGAGTTTCCCCCAGCTGGTCCCTCCCTTCCTGTGCTGTCCTGGCCAGCAGCCCCCATCCCCACTTAGATGGCTCATGCTTTCAGCAGAAGCCGTCGGTCATGAGGCTAGGAGAGACTTTTTAGCTGGGCGTGAAGGGATAACTCCAGATTTCCTCTGTTCCTTTCTGGGGTTCCTTCTCCCTGACCTTCCTCTTTCACACCCTTTTTTCTTTCTTAACTTTTACGTAATCTCTGAGTGATGCCCCCAACTCCATCTTTCCTCCTGGTGTTTCTTCCTAGAAACTGCACTCTTGAGGCTACTGGATCCTCAGGTTTTTTGCAACAGTTTCTTTGCTGATGTCTTTGACAGTATGGTGGCTTTAAAGAACCCAGCTCTATTGTGTGTGTGTGTGTGTGTGTGTGTGTGTGTGTGTGTGTGTGTGTGTGTGTGTTTCTAAGAAGCCTCCATCAGATATTTGTTTGTTTCACATGGTCCACCTATCTGACTCCTTTCAGCCAGCAGCATCATCACCTTTCTGCAGCCAGCCTACTCTCACAGCCGCTTCGACCAGGTGGCCAGAATCCCTGTGCGTCGGGAGATCATGGAAAACGGAAAATCCCAGATCACCTACAGAACTCGCGATCTCACCGCGAAGGATGGCAAGGTGAGGACTGTGCTCCTTGGTACTGGCGGATCTGAGCATGGTGGCATGAAACCCAGCAAGTGGGGACTAGTAATTACAGGGGCTGCCACAGCAGAGACATATCCCAGTCAAAATGAATATACTCCGGGGAGGGGTGGGGCGGGGCGGGAGAGATGTGACCTAGAGGTCTGAGCGCAGAATGGGAGTCAGGAGCTCACGCATTCTCTTCCCAGCTCTGTCCCACCAGGTTTGCCTGTTGGAGGCCTGGGTGTGTGGCTAGTAAAAATGTCGCTCTTTCGGTCATCTTGACCAGCCTTCTGACATGCTTGTGATAATGGACTGTTTGGAAAAGCCGGGATAAACCAGGAAGTTCCCCAGCAGGAATCATGTGCTGGTCATGTCCTGCAAAGCCTCCTGCAGCAGGGTCAGCCTGGAGAGGTCCTGCTGTATAGACTATACTGCAGGAGTGATAGCACTAGAGAGGGGAGGGTGTGTTTTGTGTTTATATTGCATGAGAATACAGCTATGTGGGTTCCTTTCTGAATCTGCTACAGTACCGAGCAATATTCCATGGCTATGCAGAGGGTCGGGGGGACCACACTGATGAGCTATGTCCTGTGGATGGAGAGGGGGTGGGCACGCTGATGAGCCGTGTCCTGTGGATGCAGTGTGGGGAAGGACTGAGTAATGAGCCATGTCCCGAGGATGCTGTGGCTGGGGAGTAATAAACTATTTAGCATGTTCTTTCTAATCCTCTCCCAGGACTACATCTTCGCAGAGGGCGACTTGGTCTTCCAGCCTGGGGAGATGCAGAAGGAGGTGCAGGTGGCGCTGCTGGAGCTGACCGAGATCGATGCCCTTCTGCAGAACCGCCAGCTCAAACAGTTTGCCGTGGATCTGCTCAACCCCAAGTACGGCGCCAAGATCGGCAAATACCCGCAGACCACGGTGACCATCACTGACCCAGGTGGGTGTGCCACCGGTGAGCCGTGCTTTTCCTGCATCGCCAGGTTCTTGTGCCACGTGCTGCTGGCAGATAGGATGACTCTAGGCCAGGAAAAGTAGTGTGAAGTGTGTAATCCCTACAGTGTGTCACACCAGTGACATGAACAGATGTGTGGCCTGAGCTACCAGAGACGCTCCTTTCCCTTGATGCCTCAGCATGCTGCAGGTCTGGGTCCTAGCCCCAGTCGGACAGCTGCCTGGGGTAGTTAATGAGACAGGGTGGGTGAGGTGACATCTTTTACTGGACCAACTTCTGTTGGTGAGAGCGACAAGCTTTCGCGCTTACCCAGCGCTCTTCTTCAGGTCTGGGAAAGGTACTCGGAGCGTCACAGCTACATACAAGGTGGAACAGATTGTTTAGCATTAGTATTTAACATATATTTCAAGGGACCACTCAAGGTGAAGTGGTTCATTAACACCTCTCCAGTCATGGGGGGCAGACACTGGGGGGAAGGGGGGTATTAGTGGGTTATGGATTGTTGTAATAAGCCATAAATCCAGTGTCTCTGTTCAGTCCATGATTTTTAGCGTCTAGCAGAGTAATGAATTTAAGCTCATCTTTTGAAAGTGTTGTGCAGGTTTCCTTTGAGGATGAGGACTGAGAGGTCAGCTACAGAGTGATGGCTTGGTGAAAAGTGTTCACCCACAGGTGACAGGCTGTTTTTGCCTTTTATCATTTTCCTGTGTGAGTTCATTCGAGAGCGTAGTGATTGTCTGGTTTCACCCACATAGTTGCTATTGGGCATTTAGTGCACTGGATGAGGTGCACCATCCAGTTGTGATAGGCACGTGTAAGACCCCTGGACCTTGAAAGGTGCGTTGTGGGGTTGTTGATGTTCTAGCCGTGGAGATATGTCTGCAGGTTTTGCATGTTGTGCTGGTGTATTTAATGATATAGTTTTGGTTCCCCCTAGTGGTAGACATGTGCATAGACGGTATCTCAGTCCCAGAGACTGGGAGGAGATGGATCATGTGAATTGCAAACCGAAGTGAAATTGGTTTCTTTGTTTCCTTTCCCTGCGGATCTGGGTGCAGGTAGCAGTGTGTTTTGGGGGAGTCGATAAACCACGTAGTACTGTCTGCACCGTTAATGTTTTAGTCCCATGGGACTCCGTGGGGTTTAGATACCTGTGCAACCACATGTGGAGTGGCTCTTCCCGCATGAGCCAGGCTATATGGGTTGTATGACAGGGCCTATCAGAGAGCTGTGTATTCTCCTCACTTGTTGGGTAGATAGTGACAAAGTAATTATTAGGTATGTACTTGACACTGTCATAGCGGCTTCATGGAACTGTGATCCAAAGGAGAAACCGTTATTGAAGCATCATAAAATGCACAATAGAAAAGCCCAAACGCTTCCAGAAAGCCAAGCCAAGCCAAGAGGCTGGCATATTCACGGATTCATTTCTGGGGCACAAGCCCCGCGTGCATCACAGAAGAGGCAGTGTGGCTCGGTGGCTAGTTTCAGGGATAGGACACCTGGCTTCTATTCCTGACTCTTGCTCTGACTTGCTGTGTGACCGTGTCACATTGCCTCTGTGTGAATCATAGAATACCAGGGTTGGAAGGGACCTCAGGAGGTTATCTAGTCCAGCCCCCTGCTCAAAGGGGGACTAATCCCCAGACAGATTTTTCCCTAAATGGCCCCCTCGAGGATTGAGCTCACAACCCTGGGTTTAGCAGGCCAATGCTCAAACCACTGAGCTATCCCTCCCCCCTGGTGGTTAGTCTGCGAAGTGAAGAGGACACTGATCAGCTCCTCAGGGATGGCTTGAGAGCTAATGTAGTAATGGCCATAAAGCCCTCAGAGAGCTGGAGAAGTGGTGATGTGGGTTGTCCCATTCTCGCTCCGTCCTGCGGAAGGATAGTCACTCATGCCCTCGGGGCATTTCACTCTCCCCACTGCAGAGGTTGTGGATGGCATACAGATCCCAATTGGCCTGGGCCAGTTCCCTCAGTCTCCCAGAGGCAAGCTGGGTGCACCGCTCAATCCGAACGCCCAAGCTCTAAGCTCCAGGAAAATCCGCTTCAACTGGTTACCACCGCCTGGCAAACCCACAGGGTACAAGGTAAGGGCTAAACAGGTTCCTGGGGTGGGCATGGACAGCCCATCATCCTGGGGCGTCATGGCCACTCCAGTCCAATGATCGTTCATCCTGCGGGGAAGGGGAGAGAAGGTGCTGGAAGATGGGAGGGCATCGTGGGCTTGATGGATGTCCTGGGCGGATTCTCTACGACCATATCAAATCTTATTCAAGTCCAGTAAGGGAAAGTCAGCAAGGGACTTACCTCTCATATGGAGCCTGTCTGTCTGGTGTGGGGGTGGGTGGGGCTGGGGTGGCCTTGGAGCTTGTGGAAGGGAAAGAGCATGTAGCTGGGGAGAGCCAGGCGTAGTGCCAATCTTCCCTCCTCGCCTTTGTCAAGGAACTCGACCCTTAGCTCCTGTGTGTCCCGCTTCTCCAACCCTCCCCACCCCTCTCCAGTTCAGCCACTGCACCTCATTCCTTCCCTGACGCATGTCCCGACTCGGATAGCCCACAGTCCTTAGCCCCAGCACAGGGACCTCGACCTGCAGCACCTGCCCTTGCCGCCTCTCTCCCCGAGCAGCAGCCGGCTAATCGTGCCAGAGCCCTTTCTAAGTTTCCTGGTGCAGAGCCCCCTGGGGACTCAGATGTATTTCCCTTAGATGTGAAGTTACATTTCTCCAGCGGGGAAAGGCCGGTGTGTTCTCTCACTGGATGATGCTAGGAGCATGAGAGATTAGCAGGCAGAGCCTCCTGCCAGGGAAACTGGGGCAAACTCCATCACTTAGCACAGAAAGAACTAGCCAAGGCAAAGCTCCAGAAAATGTACTGGAGGGAACAATCCCACGCTGGGAGTGGGCTGGACTAGATGGTCAGTGTTGAATGTAGGGGGAAACTCCCCCCTCTGCAGACTGTGCACCACTTATTCTCTCAAAATAGGGCTTCATTGGTGCATGGGTCTTCTCTGACCACTTCTCTGACCATTGCATCCTACTGTGCATAACACTCACTATCCCAGGCAGCGGGTTGCATGAAGTTTGCTCTTGGTTTATAATCGCTCTTGGTGGCTGGGAAGAGGAACTGAAGGAGAACAGGGGAGGGGAGAAGTACTTATGGTTTTCCCTTTGATGGTAGGTGAAGTACTGGATCCAAGGGGACCCTGAGTCGGAGGCCAGGTTGATCAATTCCACAGTGCCCTCAGCAGAGCTGAATAACCTATACCCCTACTGTGACTACGAGATGCAGGTCTGCGCCTACAGCAACATGGGCGAGGGGCCCTACTCGGATATCACCCACTGCCGCACCCTGGAGGATGGTGAGCTGCTCCCCCTGGCTTGTTCCCACAGGCTCGCCTGGCGTTTGTGGGGATTAGATCCTGGTGACCAGCTGGTGTGGCCAGAGGACACCAAACCCTGTCTCACGTATTGAAGGCTGATGCCTCATTGGAAATGTCTGCAGGACAACCTGATCTTTTAAAAGGCACAGTCTGGTGGTCTGCACCCAGGCCTGGGAGCCAGGAGCGTTTGAGTTTCTGCTACCAGCTCTGAAATAGGTGCCATCTGTGGCTTTGGCCCAGTCACTGAACCTCTCCCACCCTGTGTCCTAAGCTGGGACATCTCAGGGTATGTCTACACTGCATCCGGGAGTGAGCATCCCAGCCCAGGGCCACAGATTCATGCTAGTGTAAAAACAGCTCCCCCCCCCCCCCCCCCCCGGACTTGAGAACCCAAGCTGCAGCATCTACATCAAGCTTTTTAGCACTCTAGCCTGAGTCTGTGGACCTGGGCTAGGAGACTCACTCCCTGGTGCAGTGTAGACGTACCCTTATAGGCCTTATTTTTTTAACTGCCGAGCACCCTCCATACCAAGTGATTAAACTCAAGTCCCGTGTGTCCAGGTGTTTTATCCCATTCTCATCACTGGGGGTAATGGGAATATTCCCCTGCTGTTCCCACAGGGTTGTTGTGGGGATGAACTGGTTAATGAACATGAAACATGTTGTGTGAGTGTGTTACAAAGGACTAAGGTCCAAGAGCTGCTCAGCTCCTCATAAATGGAAGAGTATTTGCTTCTCCGGGTACCAATCTGAACATCTTACTTCATCTTGTACTGCCCCGGTCAGTAGCCGGGGATGGCTGTTTTATTAAATCTTGCCAGGAAAACAACAACAAAGCAGAAGGCCCCAAACAAATGGAAACCTGAAATATTGATCACAGGATTCCTATCGCCCAATGATAGCCGGACGTTTTATGAAGCTCTGAATGGAGCTAGAGGAATACGGGATTTTTCGGTTCACTAGCAATTCTGAAAAATCAAAAGAACAAAATAAAATAAAATTGGGGGTTAACCAAAGCATTTTCTTTGACCCCAAATGTAGCATCTCACTTGGGTTTCAAGCATTTTTAAACATTTCTTATTTTTTTTTTTAAATAAAATTGACAGGAAATTTTGAAACAAGAAGTCATTTGGAAATGAAAAATGGAAACATTTCATATTTCAAGTATTGAGATGAAAGGTTTAGGATTTGTTTTACCAAAACAATTACACAAAATCGACAGGAATTCATGAAATGTTTCATTGCATTTTTTGCCCAAAAAAGGTTTTGCTCGAAAAATTTCACCCAGCTCCTAGTTGTGAACACATCTACCGCCACTAGTGCCCACTTTGTTTAAATCCTCTTTGTTAATGTGCTTCTGAACGCTGTGTACTGCACCTCCATGAGTGGCGGTGGAATAGACCCAAATGGCATCTTTTGTGTCCTTCTATCTCTGGTTTGTGGCTGGCAAGACTTTTCCTTCCACCAAGATACCTTCCTCCAGGGGGCCCATCAGAAGGAACCAAATTGCTGGAGGAGAGGAGAAGACAGCCCATCATGGACATGGGCAGCGATAGGCATATTGGAAGGTCTAGACACCCTAGGCTCTGTGATGCATTTTCCAGCACCTTCCAGAGCAACTGGTGTAAAATAAGCATGTGGTGGTGCCGCAGTCCGTCGGGAGATCTCCCCGAATCGAGCCAGTTGAGCCACACTTCCCTTGGTCATGTCCCATCACTCACACCCAGAAATATCCAGCCCTCCCCGCATGCTTGTTTCCAACCCCGCCTCTTTGCTCTCGTTCCTGTTAGTTCCCAGCGAACCTGGGCGTCTGGCTTTCAACGTCGTCTCTTCCACTGTGACTCAGCTGAGCTGGGCTGAGCCTGCCGAGACCAACGGGGAGATCACGGCCTACGAAGTCAGCTACGGACTTGTCAATGAGGACAACGGTAAGAGAGGGCTCCCCCTTGCCGAATGGTTCTGTAGAGGTGTCTCCATCGGACTGAGACGCTAAGACCTTGGCAGAAACAGCCAGGACCCGTCCTCAGTCATTCGCTGCTCCTACCCCGGAGCCATGAACTGGGGTTGGGAGCCGCCCACGTTACAATGAGTGAGAGAGCACAGGCTGCTGGGGAGGTGGGTGGTGGTGGGATGCCAGAGCCCAGGACAGAACTTCAGTATTAAGGACATGGTCCTGTGAGGTCCTGAGCACCCTCAGCTCCTGTTGACCTCATTTGACTTCAGTGGGCGTTGGGGATGCTTCTCACCTTGAACAGTCTAGGGATGATGCCCTGGGAAACCCGCTGCTGGAGGCCCATTTCCCTGTTCGTTTTGGGAGCTTCCCAGAAGTGGAGTTACACCCTGGGAAACAGACACTGAGGGTGGCTGACTGCATGACCGGTAACATCACCCACCTCTGTCCTGGCACCTGCGGCCCAAGTCTCATTGAGACCCTTGGCCTTGGGGGGCTCCATGGAGCTTGCCAGACAGGATCCGGAGGGTGCAGTCTGGGACTGTCGCGAGGAGGACGGAGGTACTGATGCAGTGCAGAGGCTGTCTGGGAGCAAAGCACAGTGATGAAAGCAGAAGTGAGCCCTGTGAATCAGGGTTGCGCTGAGCTCTCCCACTGCCACTCCTAGACATGGGCCCAAGCCCAAGGTTCAGATGAACAGCCACAATTGTGGAGGGTTCTGTTGGTTTGACCCATTGATACAGGCCAGTTGTGAAGTTCAGGCCTGGATCTCGACTCTGTTTGGGGGAGTTTGGATCCAGAGGTTTGTTTGCTTCTGGCCCATCTCTAGTCATTTCTTAGAAGGCAATGGCAGGTGAAACCCGCGCTGTTTGTATCGCTCTTAGAAAACAGCGAGACTCCTCCTGCAGGTTGGCACCAACGGGCTCTAGCTCTGCTCTGAGTCCCTCTGCTGACAGGGTTAGGGGCCACGGGGGGCTGATGACCCATGTGCTACTGTGTGAGCTGGATCCGAACTCAGGATCTGATGGGTCCTTCGCTCCCCAGGCCAAGTGAGACTCTCCCGTCCGTCTGCAGCGCCCCCTGTGGATGTGTTGGGAGCAGTGTCAGTGGGAGACGAGGGGGTGCTGGAGGCAAGGATGGTCAGCACGATAGCTTGGAGGATGGAGGGGAAAAGAGCTGGGACTGCCACAGTGCCATGAGCACACCAGCTAGGCAGCTGGCCAAGTGACTGAGCTGCATGCACAGGACAGACACTGCAGCTGCAGCGACCACAAAGAAAAGAGCGGGTGCGTGTGTGCAGAGGCCGGGGGGGCGGGGAGGAGTCGCTGGGCCTTTGTGCTGTTTTCCCTTTCAAACGGGAGAGCAAAGCCGCCTAGCCCAATACAACTGAAGGAGCGGGGAGAGAAGAAATTAAGAGGTGTGTGTGTGTGTGTGTGTGTGTGTGTGTGTGTGTGTGTGTGTGTGTGGGTTTGTGTGTGTGTGGGTGTAGAGAGAGAGAGAGATATGACCTTGCTGGATGGGCGTGTGCTTCCTTGCAGTTCCCTTTGGGCCCATGAAGAAAGTTCTGGTTGAGGAGGCGAAGAAGCGCATGGTTCTGATTGAAAACCTGCGGGAGTCGCAGCCGTACCGCTACACGGTGAAGGCCAAGAATGGAGCTGGCTGGGGGCCTGAGCGAGAAGCTACAATCAACCTCGCCACACAGCCCAGGCGCCCAATGTCCAGTGAGTGCTTCTACTGGCCTGGGCGCGTGGGGAGTGGGGCTTGACTACTCTCTCTCCCTCTCTCTCCCCGTTTTAACTTGTCTGTGTCCATGCTAACATGCCTGTCCCTATGGCATCTGGGTGGGTGGTTTCCCTCTGGCATGGGAGGGCCCCACACAAGCAGGGTGTTTAATGGTGCTCTCTGCCTGCCCCTCGCAGTTCCCATCATCCCCGACATCCCAATCATCGATGCTGAGGGCGGCGAAGACTACGACAGCTACTTGATGTACAGCGCGGACGTGATGCGCTCCCCGTCCGGCAGCAAGCGCCCCAGCGTCTCCGACGACTCCGGTACGTGCGCTGTGTTTTGCAAAGAGCGTTTTGTTGATTTCTCTTGACAGCTTTGAACACTGAGCCTCCCCCGGGAGAAGGGGAGTCCAGAAAGCAAACCAGCAGAGAACCTCCCTTCCGAACGAGGGAGTGATTTACTAGCCACAGGATCAGCACAGATCGTTTTTTGTTCCTCATTCTGCTGCGACGGCAGAGAGAAGTCCCAGCTCTGGGAGGACCATGCAGAGGCTGAGCTGCCACCTTGCTTCTGTGCTGCTGCTCTGAAGAGCAATGGAGGCTCAGCCTCCACCAGGCACAGTTGGGTAGGAACTTTGCATCCAGAGGTTGGGCCTCTGCCCGTTGCCATGAGATTAGGGTACAGCGCACAGTCCTGACCTCCTAGCTCCTGGGGATGTTTCTTAGTTCAGCCGTTAGGCCAACGAGAGGGACCTCACTGGGTGGTGGAGCAGAGACATTTCAGCTAATAGCTGCTTAAGACCCAGAAGAACCCCAGTGGCCCATGGTATCTGGTTCTCTCCCATTGTGCTCTAGGGGTGTCCCACTGGCTATGTCAGGGCTGCTAAGGTGAACGTGGCAGAGTCTCAGCTTGAAATAACTATTTCAAATGGGAAGAATGAAAGCGACTTGTAATGTGGAGCTGGGGCAACTGGTGTTGCTGGGGCAACCTTACAGGAGACCTAGGCTGGAGCAGGTTCGACAGTGGCTGGAATGAGGCGTACCCTGCCCTGTGCGCTCTCTCTCTCTCTGTTTCAATCTGCTTTGGGAAGTGATGCGTCCTTGCAGAGAGTAGAGTGTACGTGTAAGGACAGCCCCACGGTGGCCAGCGTTGTGTGCACCTGTGAGCTTCATGGAGTGAGGAGGCCGCTCCTGAGCATGGGAGGACAGTTCTATCCAGCAGTGCCTGTGATGGGGACAGGTGTGCAGTGGGATCGCCAGCCCTGTTCTCAATCCTGACGGAAATGGGGTTGGAGCTCTGGTCTCCCCAGGGCTGGTTGAACCCCTAGTGTCCTGTTCCCTCCATTCTCCAGCTCTGTCCCGTGATCTCTGCACAGCAGTAGCCCATCAGCGGGTTTGTCACAGGAGGCAGATGCAGCTGCTCCTGGAGGCTGACCCCAGTGTGCAGCAGGTGGCCTGATGGTGGCAGGTTCCCCACTTTGCCCCTGCAGGCCGTGCCAATGTGAGTACTTAAATTGTTCCAAAAGGCTCCAGGTGGAAATATGTGCAGCTGCTGGGGGAGGACTTGGACCTTCGCCGCATCACCTGGAGGCTCCCAGCCGAAATGATCCCCCGCCTCTCTAGCAGCAGCTGCTTCTCCTCGGACACCGAGGGTCTCCTCCACGAGGATAGCTCCCATTCTGAGCTGTTGGACAGCGACACAGCCAGCGGCAGCCTGACGAGGAGCACGACGCCCCGGCCCCAACCAGGTGAAGGCCGGCTTCTTCTGCAGTGAATGTCGTGTCTCGTCCTTCTCCGAGCCAAGAGCGTGGAACTGGGCCCTGCCCCCTAACATCCCCTCTGTACCCACATTGGTGTTGGCATGAGGCACTGGTCACATGTAGTAGAGTCTGCTTGCAAAGTGTTGTCATGGTCTGTCTGCTCAGGAGAGTGCCAAGGTAACGCCCACCTCGGGCATGGACTGGGAACCTGCTAGGAGCTCGCTTCTGCAATAGGCTCGGACCCTTAGGGAAGGAGCAGATCAAAACCATGTGAAGCCTGTAAGAACAGCCGCCTCCAAGGGGCCACTCCTCATCTTAAGTAACTGCTCTGAAGTAACCCACCCAGGTTTCCAGTGCAAACCTGCAGGACTATTATTGAGAGAGCAGCCTCTAGGAGGCACCTGATTTCTGCTGCCCCTTTGGGTGGTCACTTAAGAGGGGGGTCATAAAGACCATTAATGGCGGGGTTTGCTTTTCAGGTCCGGCTGAGATGAGCTCCAATGTGAAATCTGTGGGAGCCGCCTCCTTCAGTTGGCATTTCTTCTTCTTTCGTTAAGACAAAATATAAACACGTGCTGGGATCAAGAGATCTGACCGTTAAGACACGTGAGGTTGGACCTTAGCAGCCCCCCGACAAGCTGAGCTCTGGAGTTACCTTGGGCACTGCGGGTCGGTTGGGTATTGTGCAGGGGGTGCAGGTTCCTGTTTGTTTCCCCTGCTGCTGGCTGTGCGGTTGTCACTTGTCTGAAGAGCCGGAGTTATGTTCTCAAACAGCTGGAGAACAGGACAAAGCCGATGCAGGAGGCATGGAGCCGTGGTATGGTCCCGATGCCTAGACTGCAATTGCTGAGACTGACTGAATTCAATCTTTCCCAGAGCATCTGCCGAATGGCCGGATGGATTTCACCTTCCCCGGCAGTGGGGGCACCCTGAACAGGACCTTGAATGCTAGCTATAACCAGCTGACCTCACACATGCACCAGGAGAGGAGGCTGATGGGCAGCTCGTCTCTGACCAGAGATTACAGCACAATGACCTCAGGATATGGTGAGTGTCGGGGGATTGGGGCCCTCCCCTCTGCTTCGCCATAGCAGGGACCTGTCTTCCTACCCTCTACCCCTTACAGCGATCTTGGGTCACAGCGGCCGGGGCCTCCCTGTACCTCTGCCTCCCAGAGCTCCCTCTCTCCACACTGAGAGGGCTACCTCTGTGCATCCCCCCAGGCCACCCTGAGAAAGGGGGGGGCTGCCTCCATGGGGCCCCCCCAGGGCTCTCTGGGAAAAGGGGGGCTGCCTCCATGGGCCCCCGCAAAGCATTCTGGGAAAGGGGGGCCTGCCTCCATGGGCCCCCACAAAGCATCCTGGGAAGGTCGGGGGCTGCCTCCATGCCTCTTACTCTATCTCCATGGTTACTTTGCAGCTCGAATTGTCTGAGAGTCGGTCTGGCAGTGGGGACGGGGCTGGAGAAGCCCTTTTCATGCTCTCCCTTAAGGCAGCCCTCTCTGTACTGGGGCCCCAGCACACGGGCTGCTCTGGCTTCAGATGCCTTCAGTGGTCTCTCTCTCTCTCTCTCTGTTTTCCGCTATCCTGTAGACCAGCCAGGGAGGATTCTCCCTTCCATACGTGAAGATGCTGGCAGGATGGCCCTGCTGCCCCAAGACGTAGGTGTCAGGAGCAGGGCAAAGGTGAAGGGTTCCTACGCCAGCAATGGCTTTCGGGATTCTATAATCATGACTGATGGGCCCACTGGGATTGCCAAGTATATAGGTACAGCCCACGGCAAAGCCTTGTCCAGTGTCTTCGTGGGTGTCTCCCCGCAGTCATGCATCCCATAACCAGCCCATCCACCCGTGAGCTGTCTGCTCCTCTCCTCCACCGGCTTTGTGTGTGTGCTGATCTGTGCCCCTGACCCCGGCTGCGCCTTCACCACACCACCTTTCCATTTGCAGGGTTCATTGACCTCGTTAAAGCCATGTGAGCTGATTAACCCGCCCCACGCTCTAACGACCTCATCGACTCGCCGTCCGCGTCCTGCCCTCTTCGCTCCTAACAAGCCGATCGTTTTCTGTCTCTCTCCACAGGCCTTGGGGGAGAATGTGTGCCCAGTGCAAAACATCCCTCCGAACCACGCTAGGCAGCTGAGCCCTAGAGCGCCTGGATTGAGGTGCTGGAGAATCTGCTTGTCATTGCATCCATTTGCTGCCATGAAGGCAGTGGTTAAGGGATACCCCTTAATTCTTCCCACCTTTTGGTTCTGGAGGTGCTATTTGTAGAGAGAGCAGGGTGGGCTAATGAACTGAGCATCGGGCTGGGAGCCAGGAGCTCCCAGGGTCTAATCCCTCGTCCCCCTTTGACTCACATGAACCTCTTTGCCTCAGTTTCCCCATCTGTAAACCAGGGATAGCAATACTCACCTCCCGAACAGCTTGATTCAGTTACTGGGACACGTGACTGCAAAGCAGTTTGAAGATGATGGGGGAGGATTGCAAAGGCATAAAGGGCAGTTAAGCACCTGAACCCCATTGAAAGCCCATGGGAGTTGGGTGCTTAATTCCCGTTGACAGTCTCCCCCTTGAAGTGTCACCCTTGATGAGTGGCTGCCAGCACGGAGTGGGGGGAGGTCAGAGAGAAGCTGGCGGGGGAATGAGCAGCTAGGTAGGTGAGTGTGTGCAAGATAGAGGAGTGGCCAGTGGGTTAACTGTGGATGTGTGAGTGGGCAGGGACGGCTCATCCTTCACAGTACCTCTGTGCCCTTCTCTCCGATGGGGGTCTCTGATCCCACCCCCACCCCATCCCCAGCTTGCATGCAGCAAGGCTCAGGGCTGTTAGATGGCTGCTCTGACTCCCCTTCCCCCTCTCCCTGCGCAGGCCTGTCAGGCAAAGCACACTCCCTAGGGTGCATTCCCTCTTCCCCCAGAAGGCCAGGAGTCCCACTCACTCCCAAGATGTCCTCGAAGCACCAAGCCGCCTGGACGTGGTGCTTCAGGGGGAGTGAGTTTGGCCAAGCCTGGCCCCAAGCCTGCTGGGGAGCTAAAGGGCTGGCAGGGAAAACATCTAGATGTTCTCAGCAATCCCTTCGCTCCCGTGGCTGGAGTCAGGGTGTTGCTTCTCCAAGTCCAGAGACTGCAGGGCGCTGTTGTCAGAACCCATTTGTATACCGCTTGACCCCATCCTGGCTGCTCAGCTCAGCCCCCAAAGCCCCTCCGGGTAGGTTCTCGGCAGACCTGGCCCGTGGTTGCGGAGAGGACGTTTTGCCACATTCTCCCTGGACTGTAAGGACCATCACACACTGGGGTGTGTCTGTTTCTTTTCCCCACTGCCTCTCGCCTTTGAATCCAAGGTTGTGACTTTCCCTCTTTGCATCAGATTCCAGAATGGCCCTGGGCGTCCCTGACACTCCCACCCGCCTGGTGTTCTCTGCGCTGGGGCCCACCTCCCTGAAAGTCAGCTGGCAGGAGCCACAGTGCGAGAAAGAGGTGCAAGGCTACAGCGTGCAGTACCAGCTCCTCAGTGGAGGTCAGTGAGCTCTGTTCGGCTGACGGCTCAGCCCCGGGGGTGGAACGAGTCTTCGTGGTACAGCATGGGGCTGGGAGATCTAGAGCGGAACCCGGGTTCCACTGAAGCCAATGGGAGTTTGCCACTGATCTGAGCAGAGCCAGGATTTTACGGGGCGGTCTATTCCCAGCTGTGCCACAGACTTCTTGGGTGGCCTTGGGCAAATCATATATCCTCCTGGTGCCTCATTTCCCCCCGTCTGGACTAGCTCAAATGCCCCCCCCCACTCTCCCCAGTATTGAGGACTTGCTCGCTGACATCTGTGAAGTGCCGTGAGCTATCCGGGTGGAAGGTGATGGAGGATGGGCCTGAGTCTGATTCATTCAGCCTCCTTGTTCCCTATTACTAATTCTAGTCAGTGTTTAGAGCCCGTCGCCTCCGGACCCTGAGGCGGATGCTGGAGAGACGCAATGGCAAACACAGACGTAGAGTGGCCATTATGGGGGTAACCGTAGCTACCATCCCAACGCTTCCCCCAGCCCACCCTCACCCCTCCCTAGCCTGTCGCACTGAGTTCAGTGCTGCAGCTGGGTCTGGAAAGGAGCCGGATAACCCTGCGATCAATGAGGGCAGAGTACCCAAGCTCATAGGACTTGTCTAAAGGCAGAGGGGTCCTATCACATGGGTCAGGCTATTGGGGGTTTGGAAGGATTCCCCCCCTAAACACAAACACAGCCCTGCTGTAGGTGGCCACCTGCATTGTAAGGTCACATCCGCTCCGTGTACAGGCCGCGGCCAGAGGCACGAGAACAGGCTTGAGGGACGGTTGATCTGCTCTGGTGTGACCACACACACACACTCACTCACTCACCCTGTACTGCGGCTGCAGCCCTGCTGTTGTGACTGTTAGGTGGCACCTGTCTCTCTCCTTCCTCCCCCCTTCCAGGAGACGTGTACAGACTGAACATCCCCAACCCCACTCACAACTCGGTGGTGGTGGACAACCTGCTGCCAAACCACTCCTACATATTCAAGGTGAAGGCCCAAAGCGAGGAGGGCTGGGGCCCCGAGAGAGAGGGCGTCATCACCATTGAGTCCCAGGTGGACCCGCAGAGCCCGCTGAGTCCTGTACCAGGTGAGAGGGCCCGGTGCTGGCTTCACTCCATTCCCGTCTCCCTGTGGCTGGGCAATGAGCCGCGGGACCCCGGTGCGGCGGCTTCACACACTGCTCCACTGCCCGGGGGGGTATGGAGGCCGACCTCAGGGTGTGCTGGGGGTCTGGGGCATGGTGGCGGCACCCCCATGTCGAAGTTTAGGCTCTGTAAGCTCCCAGTTGTTGCTCCTTCACTCCCCCTTTAAAATGAACACCCCCCCCTTTCCTTGAATGCTGCTCCCCAATGTGCCATCTTCAGTGCACTATGTAAACAGCCGAGACTCCCAGCCCATTACAGCAGTGACCTGCATAGACCCAGGCTGCTGCTTCTCTCCCCCAGTCCAGCACTGACCTCTCGCTGTTGCTCCTGCAGGTTCACCGTTTACACTGAGCACTCCCAGTGCGCCAGGACCCCTGGTGTTCACTGCCCTGAGCCCGGACTCGCTTCAGCTCAGCTGGGAGAGACCCCGCAAGCCCAACGGAGCCATTCTGGGCTACATGGTCACCTGCGAGATGCTGCATGGAGGAGGTACGTTCTCGCTCCGGCTGGGCTGGAAACAAGCCATCGGAGAAGTGACAAATTATCCCTTTGCTGGGGCTAAAGCGTAGCACGTCGCAGCTGCAGACCTGATCCAGGAACAGAGCCTCCCGCTCCGTTCAATCCCTGAGCAGCCTTAGTGGGGAGGGCTGGGCCTGAGACCCAGCCCTGTACTGAAATGGGGATCTTTCGACAGAGAACCAGGGATGTCATAAGGGGGGGGATGAGGGCTGAGACAAGAATAAAGTGGGGCAGGGGAGAGGGTGGTGGAAACTGCAGGAGGGTAGCAGCTGGGGGGTGAGTGGGGAGGAAGTTGGTGGGAAGGATGGTGGGCTTTAGGGAACCATTGTATTCTCTCTCTTCATACCGTGCTTCCATTTGGATTAGGGGAACCCAGGAATATCTATGTGGAGGGGGACAACCCGGAAACCTCCCTGACCGTGCCCTACCTGAGCGAGAACATCCCCTACAAGTTCAAAGTGCAAGCCAAGACCACCCAAGGGTTTGGGCCAGAGAGAGAGGGCATCATCACCATTGAGTCTCAAGATGGAGGTACCACATTTCTTGTGTATATGTGGGGGAACAAAAGACAACCTGTGGGGGATGGCAGTCATGGGAAGAGCCAGGAACTGGGTCAGGACTCCAGGGTTCTCGTTCCACCTCTGCTGGTGAAACAATTTCTGTGCCACAGTTTCGCTATCTGTAGAATGGGGATAATACATATCTCCCGGGGGCAGCAAGGGTTAATGTAATATTTATAAGGGGCTTTGAGATCCTTGGGTGAGAAAGGAGTCTGAGAACTTATTACTTTATTGCCAACCTTCTTCTTTCGATGACTGTGCATCCCCAAGACCCAGCAGCCACCTCACAGGGTCTTTCAGCCTCCCAATCTCTCGTGAGCATTCTTCAGATTTCTTTCTTTAAGGGCTCCTAATGGAACAGTATGACATAAGCTCTCTGCCTAGTGGTATAGGGAGAGGGTCGTTGGCGTTGATTGCTCAGTGACGGGTAGCTAGGGGCTCCATGTGATCGTACAGCTCCTGCGACATTCCCCGAGCTGACTTTTCTCCTCTTCTCTCCAGGAGCTTTCTCACAGTTCGGAGGGCAGCAATACATGAGAGAGGAAGTGTACAACCTCCCCGCGGAATACAACACCACCACCACCATCAGCCACTCCTCTCTGGAGCCCTACTACACAGGTAAGGGCTTCCTGTCTGGAATGCTTCAGTCCCTGGAGACGGGGCAGATTGTTGTACGGAGTCACAGTCGTTGGTATCGGCCAGTGCAAAGGAAGGTGCCTGGTGTAGTGAATAGTTACAGCACAATCCTGACTGCCCATAGATCTCAGGGTCCTAGCTCTGCAGACATCCAGGGAGGGGCTATTGGAGGGCTCCTCAAGGCTATTCAACGCTATAGGCTTTCAGCAGGGTGGGCGAAAGGAGAAAGAGAGAGGAAAAATGAACAATTTAAAAAATTGTATTTAAATATCCCCATCCCTTCACCCCTCTGGTGCCAAGGGGTAATGATTTTGAGACACAATAAATTGTTGTCAATGGGAACTGAACCAACTCCTCTCTGTCCTCGCTGCAGCACTGCCTCCCCTAGTACTGGGTGGATGCCAGTCTGAAATGCGCCATGGTTGCATTTCCTGAACGCAGCCCAGGTCCCGCTGTGGCTGACGGCCTTCATGTGGGGTCCGGGAGAGAATTTCGTTCCCAACACACAGGCTAGGGCCCAAAAGCTACTGCTCCTCCTGCAGATACCTGTCTGACAGTCCAGCCGGGATAGAGCCAGGGCAGCACCTCACGTAGGCCGTCATGCCCACGGCTGACCTGCTCCTCTTGTTGCAGATGGCATGTTGATGACCACCCAGCGGGTGGAGAGCAGTGGCACCCTCACCAAGCAGGTCACCAAAGAGTTCGTCAGTAGGACCATGATGTCCAGCGGAACACTCACCAAACAGATGGAGACACAGTTCTTCGAAGACTGAGCTGGGGAGAGGCTGCCAAAGGGGTGTGCGTGTTCAGACTGCAGAGCTTTTCAGGCAGGCTCATGCTATGGTCAGCTTCCAGGCTCTGGGCCGCCGTGCCCACCTAATCTCACCTGGGCATAGAACTGCAGTGGCACTTGACACGCTGGTCATTCCTTTGAAGCCCACCGCCGTGGAGGCGGCACGTCAGCAGATGGGATGGCAAGTGTGTGATTGGCATTTGGAGCGCTCCGTTTCCGGGCTGGCCGGCCTAGCATCTCCACTGAGTGGTCTGTCGCAGAGGCTTCTCAGTGCAGGGTCATTGGCCAGCCGTTTCTGGAGTCCCGTGTAGTATAATCCTTACCAGCTGACTTTGTGTGTATGTGCTGCCTACCCACTCTCACATGGCTGGCCTCCTGCTGGGAGTCTGCACTGGGCTTTGGTTTGTATTTAAATATCCAGCTCCGCCTCTGTCTTGTGTGCTACCTGTCATGCATGGTCACTTTTATTTTTCCAACCTGCTGGCTCAGCCCTGCTTTTCCCCCCTGTTCATTTCACCAGTGGGAGGCAACTCCATTGTGCTCTGCAAATGTGCACAGTTCTATTGTTTATGAGCCTGTGTTGCAATGTAGATGGTCAGGGTAATCGCTGCATGCCTACCGCACCTGTTTGTGTAAAGCCCCCTGCTGCTAATGTGTGGTACTGCAGTAACAAATTATAGCCTTAATTTGCATAGCATTACCCACAATGCTCTATGATGCAATTTTGCTGAACTCTTGTACAGTTTTCCTCATATATATAAATATATTTTATTATTTTATAAAGAAACCTAGGTAAATGAGAGCTACAATGAGCATTAAAGACACACAGCTTTTGGGAAACATTTGTAATAGCAGAGACTGGTTAAGGAGCCTGATCCAAAGCCAATGGGAAAACGCCCAGTGACTTCAATGGGCTTTAGATCAGTACCTAAATCCTCCACTGTTGATTTCTGCAGTACAGCAACCCAACCTCCTACAGCATCCTGGATCGAGGAGCTTGTGTACTGCAAAGCATACAACAGTCCAGTCTTACTGTAGCTACAGCGTACTCTTGGGCGAAGGCCAAGTAAAGCCTGGAGGACTACAAGGGAAGAATCAGAATTGCTAGTTCAGTGGCGTAGGATCGGAAGAAATGTACTATAAATGGGTAATATTTTTGTTTTGTTGAAAGACCAACTTGGTTATAAACCTAAGACCCCAAATCCTTATTGGTGTCACTTTCCCCACAGTGGAGCTTTAGTGCAGCTTAGGCAGATAACATTGCGTGACTTGTAAAGGCCTTTGATCCCCTGCCCCAAATACTCCCTGTAGTGTATTACATTCCACTGTCACCCAGTAACTACAAGGTGACAGCAGAGAGAGAAGTGGGGGCGGGACAGTCGCTCTCCTTTAGAGTGGATGAACTGTTAGCCTCAGCCACGTCGTTCTTTCCCCAGCATCAGCCATTCTCAGACCACATTGGGGCCAAGAACTGTGCTGGAACCCTGCCGTGCATGGCTACCGCTTGGTGGCAAGGCTGTGGCTGCGTGAACCAAGTCGCTCCCACGGTCCTGCTACCCAAGGCTGAGAGTAGTAGGGGCTGTCGTGCATCTGACCGTTGTCCAGTGATCCTTTACTAGAGTTATTGCCGTGTGTCTAGCTTCTGGGTCGATGAGGCATCCTAGCATCTTGCCATGCCCTTTGCTGCGTTCCCTCCCTGCTACTTCCCAACCCGGTGGTGCTGGAATCTCTGTATGTTCACTTTCCCTAGGGCATTCATGGCAATGTGGTGGGGGGAGGAGCTTTGCCTTTCTGTCCCACACGCCTCTGCAAACACTGCACTAAGTTATGCCAGCGGGGTGACTCGTTCGTATGTTTCGCTTCCCAACCCTCTCCCCGAGGGGGTGTCTTTGAGGCGAGCGTTTCTGATCATAATGTACAGTACTAACCGCAGGTTCCGTAGCCCAGTTCCGTAGCCACACGTCCAACCCAGCTGTGCCGATGTTTAATATGGCTATTAACCTAAAGACTTAAGGGAAGATTTGCAAAGGCCCAAAGGGCAGTTAAGTACCCAACTCCCATAGGAAGTCGGTGGGAATTGGGCAGCTCCTATTTATGCCTTTGAAAATCTCCCCGTAAGCCCCTCCAGGCCGTTGAACAGCGTTAGCTGGCTGAACAAGAGCTGAGGCAGCATGGGCCAAAAGCTAGAGCTGTGGATTGGGAGGCAAAACCCCTAGGGGGTTCTAGCCCTGGCTGTACCACTGACTCCTTCCCTGAGCTTGGGCAAGACACTTAACACCCTGGTGCCATGTGGCACATCTGTCAGATGGGGATGGCAGGACCCACCTTTGAAATCTACCAATGAGAAATGCTCTTGAATTGCCTCTTGTTTGACATTTGGCTCTGAAGGGGTCTGAGCGTGGACTGGTTCAACTTCACCCTCAGCCGACTAGCAGGGGAGCTGCTCATGAGCATTTGGAAACTGTTCCTAGTGAGAACGGCAGCTCCCACCTTTCATGGGTAAGGCCAGTTTTCAAAGGCCGCGGAACAAAAACAATAGCTGCCCTTATTCCCTGGAGGTGTCGTTGGTTTTATTGAAGCGGACTATGGAACTTCTCAGCCATTCCTTGAGAACCAGAGAGAGCTCCCAGGACAGACCATTTCAAGGGCTCAATCTTGCACCTGGCTTCAATGGGAATTTTGCCACTGATTTCCCTGTGAGCCAGACCCCTCTGTCTGTCTGTGTGTGTGTGTGTGTGTGAGATTAATATACACACGTTCTCCCCATTGTGCATGACCATCCTGTCCTAAACCTAGGTGGGAACTGGGGCTAGTTTAGTTTTTGATCTAAATACAAGAAGCCTGGTCTGTTACAAATTAAACCAAATGTGGTTTTACACAGCCCATTAGAAATATTTAGTTACTGAATGAATGTCCAGTTGGCCTTATATTTCAGTTCCTGGCTTCCAGGGCTCTCGGCGACTAGTTTTTTCCTAGACATGGACGTATTTTCAGCTAAAGTGGCACTTCACCAAAGCTACACCACGTTGACTGTAGCCTCCCGTCGCTGTGCATCACAGTACCTTGTACTGTAGTTATAACACACTGATTCGCTGCCACAGGAGAGTTCATACAATAATTGTAACCAAAGAGTTAATTAAATTATCTGGGGCAGAATGCACCCTGGTGGCTGATCCCAATTCTAACAACCTGCCCTTTTAAAAAGGTTTGTATAGAAGAGCCACAATAGAACATAACGACTTTTTTGTAGCTTTCATGAGATAAGTACAATTGTTGGCACATGAATACTTCCGGTGTGTACCAAGGAAGAATCTGTCCACAGGTGTTCTGGACCACATGGCTTTATATTGCACTTAATAAACAATTTTCTCTATAGTCTGGCTGCCCCATTCATTGCAAAAATTCAGAGGTAAAGATTGGCAGTTGTGCCAGCTGGCAAGAGATGAGTTACAGGGGCTAGGATGTACCATGCTCCCAGCATATGGGTGACTCCTTCTCTCAGGCGACTTGGCACATGGCCCTCAGTCATCCTAGTCCCTATACTTCCCTTCAGTAATTACTAAGCTTCATGCAAGGCATTACTACACTGCCACTACATGTTGCCCATACCACTGCAGTAATCTGGATCAGTCTCTGGTCTCAGTTACACTGGGGTTAACTCTGTGGACTGTAAGTCTCACACATGTTGGTGTAACTGAGATCAGAATATGGTCTCCAGTGGTTTGGACTGAGATGGTTAAGTCAAGAGGCAGAACTGTTGTGCAAAATTAGTTTTATTACTTGAGTGGCGCAGGTTTGTACATTTCCCTGTGTTCCGTTGTGAAGTTAGAAACAGAGTCATGTTTGATTTCCTCCAGGAGGAAGGGGGAAGGCAGCTGGCTCAGGACTTTTCCTCTGACGCCGTTGAGGACCCGGAGGTCAGAGCCCTATGCAGAAAGGGAAGTCGCTCCTTACAGAGGCTGTGCCTTTGCCCCATCTGAAGGCGTGGTGAAATAGAAGGTAGCTGTGCCATTGTACTTCTCCTAGGAGACAAAAGGAGAAGCAAACACTGAAGGGTCCAACAGAGTCTGCATGCTAATGCAATGGGCCCTGCGATCAGAATGCATTCAGGGAAGCTACTGCCAGACTGAGCATTATTGGCCCCCAACCACAACTCATTTCATATACACTTCGGTACGGCCATCTGATGGGACTAGTAAGATGGTCACATTGAGACTAGTGCCCTAGCGAGCCAAAGGTCCTATAGCCTCATTACCAATCCAAGTCCTCCAAGCAATGTCTCCAGCTATGTGTCACTTTGCTTAGTCACTCTCCGGGGATATTCTCTGGAGACACTCGTCTGTCTCACTATCCCAGCCTGATCAAGCCACCTTCCATGCGCCTGATCCTCCTCTGCCTCGACCTTGCCTGGTCAGAATTCTCCACTCACGCTGGTGGAGCCGGGCTCTGTGCTGCAAATCCTGAGGCCAGGCTGAAGGCCAGAGCTATGGCGTTAGAAGGGCTACGTACCTTGATGTGCTGCAGAGCTTCCTCTGCTGCTCCAGCCTCCAGCAGCGTGACAGTGCAGCCTCCGAAGCCTCCGCCCGTCATCCTGCTGCCATAAACCCCACTGACTTCCAGCGCTGCAGCTACCAACTCATCCAGCTCAGGACAGCTGACCTCATAATCATCCCTGGGAAACACAAACCCGAGTCTGGGCAGCCTGCCAGTGCCGCATCCCTGTACACACATTCCTAACACACCCAGCCCTATAGCACCTGGCTGCAGCGGGAGATGGAAGAGTCGTTTGATTCCTCCTGAGGTCGAATTTCAGGGCCAGTCCTAGAAACACATGCATTTGCTAGCCAAAATGGAGAGGGCAAAGCCTCTCAAACTGCAGGCCCAGCTGCTAGGGTTAGCCTGGCACATTCCCTTCAGTGGTAGGGGTATTGGGTACAGGACTGGCTCCAGGGTTTTTGCCGCCCCAAGCAGCAGGAAAAAAAAGCCGAGATAGCAATTGCGATTGGCGGCACTCCAGCGGCAGCTCCACCGCGCCGCTTTCTTCTTTGGCAGGAATTAGGCGGCAGGTGCTTCCCACCGAGAGGGACCCGCCGCCGAACAGCCCGACGTGCCGCCCCTTCCCCTTGACCGCCCCAAGCACCTGCTTGCTGGGCTGGTGCCTGGAGCCGGCCCTGATTGGGTAACTGGCCATGGGCATGCTTGAGGAGCAGGGGCAGAGGCCTCCTTCTGAATCCTCTGGTACAGACCAACGCCGAGGCTGTAGAACAGGATCTTCTCTGCAATTATTCCTAAAGTCCGTCACTTATTGCAGGTTGTTCCCCTCCGGAACGCTGAGCGGTGGGAGAGACTAGGTAAGACGCTGCACGGGAAATCTCGTGGTTGAAGCTGTCCACCTTGCTATCCTTGTGTCCCATCCTTGGGCCCTGAGAGCTATTGCTACCCTACCCCCAGCTGGAGTGTCCCTACCCAGCGGGGCTGGCGATGCCCGTACCGGAGGGAGTTGTGACTCTCCACCATCAGCCTCCCAAACGTCCTGTAGTCCTTGGCCTGCAGCGCCTGCGCCGCCCGGGAGGTGCGCTCTATTTCTCCGATGACGTGCCTCGCGCGCCGGTACACCTCCTCACTCAGCAGGGCCCGGGCAGCTGGAGACGCACAAGGCTGGACTGAAACGCGACCCATGGCCTAGAGCCTCCAAACAGCACCAACTGGAATGGAGCCCCATGCCGCCCAGCACCTTTTGAGTTCACTTCTCTATTTGCCCCCCGCAGAGTCACCAAGCTCACTCCACATACAGTCCCTGCCCCTCTTCCTCCCCCCCACCCCCCCAAAGTCACCAAGCCCACTCCCCAGTCCCTGCCCCCTCCCACCGCCTCCCCCCCCCCCATCGCCAAGCTCGCTGCCCACTGTCCCTCCCACCACCTTCCTCCCCCCCAGTGGCCAAGCTCTCTCCCCACACCGTCCCTGCCCCTCTCCCACCGCCTCCCCCCGCCCCCCCATCGCCAAGCTCGGTCCCCACACCATCCCTGCCCCCTCCCACCACCCCCTGTCACCAAGCTCACTCCCCACACTGTCTCTGCCCCCACCACCCCAAAGTCACCAAGCTCTCTCCCCACGCCGTCCCTGCCCCTCCCCGCACCACCATGGTCGCCAAGCTCGCTCCCCACGCCGTCCCTGCCCCTCTCCCACCACCTCTCCCCTCCCCATGGTAGTCAAGCTTGCTCCCCAACCTGCCCCTCTCCCACCACCTCCTCCCCCCATCCCCAGTCGCCAAGCTCGCTCCCCACACTGTCTCACAAGATTTTAGGCTGCAGCAGACTGTTCTGGTGACCCAAGGAAGACGTTCCACTCACCCTCCAAGTCGGCCATACAGGCCTCCCTCAGACTGGCCTTGCCCAGAGCCTTCGCTGCCTCCTCGCACTGGCGCCGGCGCGTAGGGTACTCGCTGCCCGTCAGCGCGTGCCGCACGTTGGAGTTGGTGATGAGAACCACTAAGCTGGGGTCGGTCAAAGGCAAGAGGAAAGTCTCCAGCGACCTGGAACAGAGGTCACAGCAGGGTCACAGGGGTGGGACTTCCTGTTTCCACCCAAGCCCCTGACGAGCGGGAGCTGCGTCGGAGCAGCCACCTTGGCGCGCCTCAGGAGCCTGCGTTACAGCGAGGCCATGGACATCACTCTCAGGCTCAGAGCCACCTAGGAACGAAGCCAGTGTTAGAGCTGCTCTCCACCCACACAGCTGGGAGGCTGGCATTCTAAAGGGGCAGAGTTAAGGTGGTTTGGGCACTTTGATGCTGCATTTTCATCATCTCACCAATTGTATTGCAGTATCAGCCACAGGCCCAAGTCAGGGCTCTATTTTACTAGGGCCTGCATGCGCCGATAAAGCTAGTCCTCCCCCCACAGAGTTTACCCTCTACATAAGCTACCACAGGTGTTTGGGGGCTCTTCAGTTTAACCTTAAGCTCTCTGGGGCTGTCATTTATTCGGTGTTTGTACAGCACCTAGCACCTGGCCAGCAGGCACTACTGCAATGGAAATGTTCAACAGTGACTCTGGAGTTCCTGGCCCTCCAAGGATGGGTTTTACTGGCCATGATCCTGTAAGGATTTTTACCATGAAGTTACAGACCTGATTTCTGTCAGGGTTTTACTGCTCAAGTCATTCCATTCCCATAATAATAACCCTGTGGAAGGCTATCCGGCAGCCACAGCCATGGAGCCATCTTGTGGCCCTATCCCAAGATCTCCGTGGCTTGTGTCTGAATGGCTCGGTCCCTAAAGCTGGGGGGCGCTGGATAGTGGGGACTGTGACCCTTTGTCACTGGCTGAAGGTCACGGGATGCTACAAGTTCCAGTGGGGAGCAGCTCACCTTGCTGTCCAAATTCCCAGGCTAGGCTTGCCCTTGCCCAGCCAGCTAGACACTAGACATAAGAGTTACACGGCGCAGCTCGGGACAAGGCAGCAATTCTGCTCTGTGGGAGGCAGTGTGGTCTAGTGGGCAGAATACAGGACTGAGAATCAGCAGACCTGGGCTGTAATCCCAGCCCTGCTGGTCTGCTCAAGGTCACACAGCGTGACCAAGGACAAATTCTCATTTAGGCTGAGGACCCTTTATGCCACTCCGGGTATAAATGTAATTCACTTCCACAGCCCTTCACACTGCCAGAGTGGTACAAAGGGGCCTTAACGTAACTGGGTGTCTGGCCCTACACCTCTCCAAGCCTCTGTTATGAGGCTTCGTGGGCAGATGATGAGGAAGCGCTTTGAGATCCTCGGAGGGAAGGTGCTGTAGAAGTGGAGAGTATCATCATTAGATGGTACAATAAGCTATGAGTCCGTATCCTGACCTGCAGTCTATCAGCAATGCATGGCCCTCTTTGCCCATCACAGATATGAACTGGTCCATGATCCCACAGGGCATACCAGCAAAGGTGTGCTCAGCCTTCTGGCATGCCAGAGCCTTGGCTACTAAGTCCCCATCATCTGTGCCAAATGAGAGAGAGCTAGATTAGCATGGTGCCTGCTTCATTTCCCACCTTGCCCAAGAGACCCAGGGGCGGGATGGGGTGGGGGGGGGGGGAACTAAAGCTCATTTTCACTTTCTTTCATTACAGAGCCAGCACTGCAGCTGCCTGTTTAAAAAGGGCTGGAGTTATAGCTAGAGATCACTCCCAACTAAAACCCTGGCTGCTTTAGGCAGTTCGGACTCCAAATCCAAATTCTGTGGCTTGAACCCATCTCTGCTAATAACGTTTGCAGCGATGCAAGCAGAGGGGGAATTGCAGCCTGGGTGAAACTCACCCCCCTGCAGAGAGCCCGCACAAGGCCCCAGAACAGAGCTTAAGGGCG